CACGCACGCACTCCTATGGGCAATTTAGAGACACCAATCAACCTAAGCTGCACGTCTTTGGTCAGTGGGAGGAAGCCGGAGCACCCGGAGAGAACCCACGCAAGCACGGGGAGAACATGCAAACTCCACACAGAAAGGTCCCAGGTGGGGCCCGAACCCGGAACCTTCCCGCTGTGAGGCAACGGCGCCAACCACTGTGCCACCGTGCTGCCCATGAGTGGAGTAGAGGTGGACTTTTTCAAGGCACAGTAACAGGTCTTTGAGAGCCAGAATTCTTGCTGTTTCTCAGGTGTTCAAATACTTATGTTCAGCAGTGCAAGACAAATAAATTCTTTAAAAATCATACAATGTGATTTCCTGAATTTTTTTCTTAATTCTGTCTCTCAGAGTGGGAATGCACCTACAATGTGAGTTTCAGACCCCTCCATGATTTCTAAGTGGGAGAACTTGCAAAATTGCAGGGTGTTCAAATACTTCAGAGCAGACCAGTTGTCAAGTCATTCTCCTCATACTTTCAGGATAAAGTGATACAGAGAGATATGCGATTTACATAATTTTGTGCATTGGCAACTTGACAGGAGTATGTGTGTTTACCATGCGCCACGTTGTTGATGCAGTCTAAGTATCGCTGTCCTTTTTCATCATACATGTACTGGCCTTTGGCTTGCACAATTTTGACAGGGTCACGACTGAAGAAAAGTGTACAAGATGGCCTGCAGAGGAGCCAAAGTTAATACTGGCATGTGTGTAACCTCTAGTATACAGTATGTTATATAGTAACAGGACAATTCAAAAGTATCTATAAGATGTAAGGCAATACAATCTGTATAAATAAACTACAGTAGCTAACAGATGAAGTATGTTTTCACTCCAGTGAAAGTTTATCAAAATAAAATTAAACCCAACAGCACTTGGATTTTTTATAGGAGGACATTCTGCTTTCAAACTGTTTTAACTTTCTAGCTCAATAGAAGAGCAGAAATGATCTCACCCAATGTGCTTCTTCCTCAGGTCTATCGTACTCCTCTTCTCTAATCTCTCCGCAGACATCCTGATGTAGTCCTGGCTGCCTGTGTGATCAGCTGGAGCACAAACAGCCCTCCTTTATACACATGTGCTGCAGACACACCCACCCACCCCTGCAGCTCTTGACATGATACGGAGAGCCAAAAGGGTCATATTCACCTGTTCTGTGCTTGTCCTAACCAGAGACATGTAAAATGCAAGTGAAAGTGCTGCTGGTCACCAGTACATTACAGGTTTTCTGCCAGCAAATATTAAAAAAAAAAACAACCACTTGTCATGCCAAAAACATACATGAAAAAAGCTGGTGTGTCAGAAACGTGTACAAAGCTGGTGGAAAAACTCTTAAAACTGTGGTGTTAGCCAGACAAAACAATTGTAAAACACCTGTGAAAAATCACCCAAATCACCTGTGTAAAACTGAAGAACATGGAAAATGTAGTTGGAAAAGCCTCTAAAAACTGGATGAAAGGTTTTTACAAACACCAAAAGCATGTGATCATGTACGCAAAAGTGAAAAGTGGCCATTGGTCCATGTGCTTTTCTGTATTTTTAACCTGCTTTATAAAGCTGTTTTGACTGTTCACCTGTGTTTTCCACTTGGTTTGTCTGGCTAACACCTGAATTTTACAATTGTAAAGATCATTTTTCACTTGCCTTTTTTTTTTTTTTTGCCATTTAATATTTGTTGACAGAACACCTGCACTTTACAGGTGACCAGCAGTGCTACCACCTGCAATTTGTGCATGACTGTGGGTAGGACAGGCGCTTGAACAGGTCAATATGACACTTTTGGCTTTCCATAGAACGAGTCTATCAAAGAAAGCACATGTGCCTTAAAGGGTGGAATTGGACAGGCAGGGAGGGAGGGACTCGCAGTACCTGTTCCAAATATGCAAAACCAGCTGTAGTGTACAATGACTGAGGACTTGTAATTCTACTGTGCATTTGTCTGGTTTATTTTTAATTTGTAGTGATTTAGTTATTACCCTTTGTAAATAGACAACATTCGGGCATATATTTGAAAATGACTGTAAACCTATGATCCTACAGTCACATACTTCACAGCAATATGCTGCTAAAGTTACAGTAAATGCTGGAGTCTTTGTTGCCAGTGTTTCACTGTTATTTCACAATGAAATTCTTTCACTCACAGGGTGTTTTAACACCTGCACTGTTTTAAGGTGGGTAACCTGTTGCTGCTTCACAGGTATTTCCAGTTTCATACTTGTACTCCATGACAATATAAAGGGATAAAATGTACTTCTTACTTCTAGAAGCTTCTGCAGACCACATTATGTTCACCAACTCAAAACATGATTCACAACAGCAGCAAAAAAAAAGTAGATTTCCAGCTGAAACCTTGAGACCCATCCATCTTTAATCTCTCATTTATACCTGCAATGCAGTTACAGACCGACCAGTAAACAGAAGCATCCTTGTCTCTGAGTTTAACCATATAGAAGTCTTCTGACCGTTCTGGAGATATTGACTCATGAAAATGTCACTAACTGAAGTGTTTACATAATCATGTTAAACAATGGAACTTAGCAGGGAACGTCTGCACTAGCTGTGTCTGACCTACTGCACCCGATATAAAACCAAGTTCTTCAAAATGCACCTTTACAAACTAAAAACACTCCAACTATAAAAATGTATATATGGCTGTGGTGTATGTTTGCAGAATTAATGCAACTGACAAGTACATGCGTTACTTTAAAATATATTGTAGCTATATAGTTGAGAAATAACACAAATAATGCAACAGTATATAATGTAATCAAAATTAATTCCATTTCTACAGGTTACAATAGTAAAATGCTGCTTATGTTCATGCATCAACACTGAACAGGGGCGTCAACAAAAGGCCATGTGTTGTTTGATGTACTTGAAAGACTGTTTATTTGACTCCAACAGTAGTCATATGAAATGTTATAGGGAGATATCGTACTGTGTGAACACAAGGGTCTTGAAAGAAATATCAATGGAGTGGGTACAAAATGACTAATACAGCTGGAGAATGCACACTGGACATGTACCACAACCAAGAGATGCAGCTGTAACTCAAATCACAAAGTGAATTCTGATTAGCATTTTTACACCTGTAGCTACCAGGACTGCATTTTATTATGGAGACTGTGTGGCAATATAATTTTTTCAGTAAGGCTGCAGTGCCTGGAGATGACGTGTAGGACACCAGTGTTGTCTTTCCACATAACGCTCGGGGATATTGTGGATGTGGCTTAGTCGGTCATTCTAAACCAGTTCAAGATTAATGGATGCATGCAACTGTTTCAGAGGTACAATTAACTCACAGCATTTCTGTAACAACAAAATACACAGCGAGTCACTTTGGAGCAGCTCTGCTTTCATGTATATGCAGAAAAATTAATTCTTTTGCCATGTGAAACTTTAGCAAGGAAATAAAAGCACAAACAAATTTAAAAAGTTTAAAAATTAGCTGCACATGCTAAAGAAATACTGTAATCAGGGCTGGGAATCCAAAAACTTATATGCTAAACATGAAGTAAAGGAAATAGCATCTTAAAGCAAAGGTGAAGCAAAACAAACCAATCTAAAGTGATTTATTGGAAGGTCAAGGTTTATATTTCTTCGGGTAAACCAGGCAGTGGTACACAGGGTAGCATGACTGAACAAACGGAGCTCTAGGAATCACAGTTGTGTGATTTTTTTTCAGCTGCATTTGAGGCCGCACACATTAACCAAGGAATAAATTGCACTTTTGTCAAAAGAGCACATTAACAGTACAATAATAATCCACTGTACAAATATCAAACTACATTCAATGCAAACAGAATGAGAGCAAAGAGAAAGCTGAGAGATTTTCACTGTGCGCTGTTGCACTAACTGGGCCTGTCAACCTTCAGACCGCCAGCGCTCGGCTCGCTTCTTCACACAAGATGAACTAAAAGCAGATGTATTCCTATGAGCTGAAGTAAATGCACAGTGAATACACACTGATGTGAAAATGACAAACTTCCTCCATGCGGTTTCTTGCTGCCTCAGCAGAAACTGCTTACAGAAGCCAAAGTAACTGGAAGGAATGCTGCTTTGAACCAAAATACCTCCATGTAAGAAACCATAGAAAAATAAATATACCACTTGAAACACTGAGAAATACACAAATATGCACAAACAACTTAAAATTGTTACACACATAAAACCCCAACAACAATAAAGAAACCTGTTGTGTAGTTCTTGCCACTGGCAGAGCGCGTCAGCTGTGTGGCTGACGACCTATCAGATAGCACCTTTATAATCTGTACAGATGTGCTTCCATTCTTCATAATGGCGAGATGAACTGTACAATCAAACCTTGCGGCAATAAATCCTGTCAAATCCACCTGTGGTTTCTGCTACATCACAACAAATGTTGGTTTTTCACATCTGCTCTTACAGTATATTAGTCATGCACAATTCACTCATGCTGAAGAAAACAAACGCCGCCTTGTGTAGCACCTGCTACATATGTCAGAAGGCCATTTGAATATACGCAGCATGAAAAGACTGACAAATGAAAATGAAACCTAGCATTGATCTACCACTCCATCTGTTTTTGCTCCATCCGATATGGAATGTGAGTTAACTGGCCACCAGTTGGCTTGTGGTTTTATTAATGGAAAGTAACTGGTTCACGGTGTCAAACTCAGCCACAGTGCTGCATGTTTTCTATACGTTTAAGACAGCACGAGTGTGATACAACAGACTGTATTCAACATAATCTGCCTTAATCTGACATCTGAAACACCAGCAGCTGTGTTCAGATGAATCCGCCTGTTGCGTAGTCAGAGTAGAGTCGACCCCAAACCCTGCATGAATCAAAGCTGCATGTTCTGAAGCTCCTGAAACATTTTCAGTATTTAAGAAATCCATAAGCAGTAAATTGTGCACATGCAGTGAACTGACACCACTGTACACATAGCATCCAGCATGAATATGTAGCATATCTGTTACATGGTGTTTGCATAAACAAGGAGCTTCTTCAAAATCATGAGTAAGATTAGAGACTGCCCAACCAAGAGGGATGTGATCTACATCCTGTCAAAACAATCCAGCGTCTCTTCAATAATCCCACAGTATGTAGCAAATGAAGCTGCTGCTTCGGAAATAAACACCAATCAAAGAATTCAACATACGATATAAACTTGTACATTTCTGATAAAGGAATGAATAAAAGCTTGAGGCACCAAAGGCTATTATACACAATGTTTAAGAATGATGGCAAAAAGAATAAAGAAAAACATGGTGGCATCGTGTTATCGTTCTCAGTAGACCCTGAAGCATCGCCTGTCAGGACAGACGCTCCAGCTGATCTCTATGGAGACTGATGAGACTCTCAGCGACTCTCATGCAGAATCCATTCCCAGAGCAGGCCTGTCCCGTCTTAAATCCTCAGTGCAGTGAGCCTGCCAGGTCCTTCCCTCCTGTCCAGAGAAGTGTGGCTGTTGGAGGCACCGCACTGCTGATGCTGAGCCACGTGGGTGTGAAAACGGTGAAAACCTGCTGATATCATGCCCTCTGCAGGCATCACCACAATAAAGCAACAATAACCAAGAGCTTTACTTTCTGGGGGCTTTCAGGCTACCAGCCACGGTGTGACTCCCTTGGGAAGATTGAAGGAAAGCAAACATTAAGTCAGAGCTCTGGGTTTGTTTTTTTATGTTAGCCTTGTTTTTGTTTTCTGCAGAAGCCATGACGTGACCACAAAACAGTGACATGTATGTACAATACATATAAATATAGTTTCTGAACACTCATGCTTTTGCAATGTTCTGTTTGGCACAGTCTTCTTTTTTTAGTCTTTTAGAAAATGGCGCTGCGTGAATGGGCAGTGAGCTTGCTGAGACGAAACAACACAAAGCACCTAGCGTTTGGTGTTAGAGAGCCAGTCCAGATCCCCCCCACCCCAGCCTCCGCTTCTTCCTCCCGAGTCTGCTTCCACCCCTGTGAATCTGGCCGGGCTGCGACGCTCCAGTCTGAGCCATGCAAAGACTACAGAGCCAAGTTCTGCCGACCAGCCACGGATCTGAACTCCAACACGATGTGGATGTGAGAGAGCGGACACACACACACACACGTTTTTCCACACGGCGATGTGAGTAGAAGCAGCTTAGGGTGTGAAACTCGTTTTGCATCATTGTACACAGACTTCTTTTCTTGACTTTTTTCCCCCATTTAAAAAAAACTATAAATACCATAAAAGAAGCATTATTTACAAACTCCATGCGTTTCAGGTTAGAGTGATCACTGCAAGAAAAACACAGGAGAGAGAACGGTGATGATTTCATTGTGTTTCATGGCTGAGCTGTCCAATCTGAGTGGGTTTTTTCAGTCCTGTTATGGCTTATTTAACAGAAAACCCATGCAAATGATGAAAACTGACAGTGAACAAAATATTAGGAGCACCTTATATTCATTAAGTCAGCCACAGTAACATTTCACAAGTCTGTCACTTTAAAATGTGCAGTTGAAGAGGTAACGTCATCATTATAGCATTTTGTTCACTTTGTGTAACTGTCACAAATACAGTATATATAGGAGTCACATTACCTTCTGCCAGCACCCTGGCATTGGTAATCCATCTGGGCCCTGTTTAGAGAAAAGTAGCAGGGGAGGGGGAGGAAAAACTAGGATTACTGAAATAAGAACAAATGGCTTGCTGTTAATAGATGCAAGATGATTACACACTCAAAAGTGAGAAAAATGGGTGGATTTTATGACAAACAATAAATGTCCCAATTAGACTTTGTTCAAAGAAAAAAAACAAAAGCATCACATCAATAAGCCCAGATCCCAGATGGGACACATCCTTCCTACCCGACTGACATCACAGTTTCTCTAAAATCACACTGCGGACGTGAAAAGTCTCCAAATCAAAACACGCTTCACAACAGCAGCAAACAAAACCATGCTTCAACAGAGAGCTTGACTCATTCATGTTGATGATGCTCCTTTATACTGACGATGCGGTTACAGACTGGCCGGCACACGGACTCATCTTCTGCAAAGGTTTAACCGTGTAGGACGTCTGGGTACTGAAGTCCTCAACACTGACATCTGAGGCTGCTGTGAAGGCCTCAAAGCCACCGAATTAACTGAACTGCTTGAATTTATCAGTTAAGGAAAAGTCACGGGAAACCACTAATTTTCTCTGACTTATTGCACCTGATGAAAAGCAAGAACAAACAGGAACTTCATCCAAACACTCTCCAGGAGCTATCGAACTGAGGATGGCTGTGCTGGTTTGCACATGACCTGCTTACTCATCACTTCAGCTGCATCTTTGAGTTACAATAAACTATAAGCGGTTTTTCATTCATGCATGTAATACACAGCAAAATACATCTCATGCATGGCAATGTGAAAATTCTACTCTGATGTTGTTAGAGCGGCCCCACAGGACCAAATCGTGGGACTTGCGGACACTATAATTGAATATGACAGTTTGATATGTTTGCCTACAGTACAACGGCTTTTTCATTTCATTGTTTGTGCACCGTTGATGTCGATGTAGGTGAGTGTCAGTAATCTAAACCACTCGTGTTTTTGACTGTGGAGGCAGAACTTCCTTCCATGCATTACACAGCATTGTTTCGGAAAGAGAAACCATTAAAATAAAGAAATTTTATTTCCTTTGCTTGAACAGATCTGGGGCAAATATCTTTGTTTACTTTTTTCTTGTCATGGTCTGGCCCAATTGGTACAAACAGGAAGGGAAAAGGGAAGTTAACAGAGTAAAGGAAGGGTCCATGCACCTGTGGCATGGCGAACTCATCAGTAAAGGAGTCTGTTAGCATCAGGTTACAGGGTAACTGCTCCAGGGAGACAGATTCAAGCAGAACTTTGCTCCAGTTTTAATCAAGGGAATGACAGGATTCAGTTAGAGGGACCGGCTTAAGTGTCATTTCAATCAATGATTGTTTACTTTGCAATGTAATTTTATAATGATGAGTGCTTTTAGTCAGAAAGTTAGTGAGGTATTTGCCGCTGAATGTTATTTTGTAACAATTCATAAATGGAAAATGTAGTTGTGATTGAAGTAAGGTGTGTTCATGCTGGATGAGCTCAAGTCATGCATGGTTTAGTTTTTTTAATGGCCAAGTGAGCGGCATGCTGGGTAAGAGGTGGAGGAAGAAGAGAAATACTGTACCAATTGGCATGGGGCATCCAGCCCGTCCAGACCTGGCTGCCCTGGTTCCCCCTTTTCACCCTTAAATCCCCGGAAACCCTGTTTGCAGAGATACCTAGGAGTGTTACTGGGAGAGAGGTGGACGACCCTTAACCCCTGCATCCATCCACTACACCACTGACACAAGGGGGGGAGGGATGAGCGGCCCTGTGAGCTTGTTGATACCACAATCCAGCTCATTTATGTTTTTCAGCATTTCATGGCATTACAGGTGCAGAGTTTCAAGCCAAGTAGTCGACTGTTTCAGGTTGCTATGGTCTGCTGGAAGCTGGGTATCTGTCTAGCCACAGGGTGCTCATCCTCATGTGGAACGGCTGGGAGGCGATTCCCAGCTCACATTTGGGACATACCAATGGGCAGGGTGCATCTAATCCAGGGGCACCCTGTTCTCCTTTCTCGCCCTTGGGCCCTTTTTTGCCCTTCTTTCCCTTCTCCCCCTGTGGATACAATAGTTTGGTCAAGTTAAAATCATTTTTTGGACATCTGGGAGAGCTATGCTATTAGGAGGGAAGAGATTAAAGAGGGGAGGCTACAGCCCACAAAGGAGAAAGAGACAGGGTCAGTGTTAGAAAATAGGGAATACCAGACAGTACTGGGAATGCTGAAAATGTTGCTCAGGACAGGAAGAAAACAAAAAGGAGAACTGGACAGAGCCAATCGCCAAAAAGGGCACAGAGGAGGAGAAGGAGTAGCAGGGAAAATCCTCCAGGAAGAGAGAGTTAATCTACCATACACCAAGTTCAAACTGTATCCCTTCAGAATAAAACTCTGGCTGTACAGTGTTAGTCGACATACATGAAAGCTGAAATTGATGTATGTGAAAAGCACATTTTATCATCAAACTTCACTGATGAAACATCACAGGTCTATTTTTAGCCATGATGAGATGAAATGTGTAATGTAAATATACTTTAAATGGTATGAGTTTGCCCGAACATGTACTACAGAGCTTTTAAAAAGTTGTATTCACACTCATAGCTCATGATCTGAAGTGTTATACTGCACCGTAAACTCAGAACCAAGTTACCATGTGCGCACTTCAGGTGCAGCCCATGTCTGCCAACTGCCAGGTCGTTATCGATGAAGCACCTACTGTACAGTGACTCACCTGCATCTCGGTCAAACGTTCGCACGTCTTGTTTCCACATTCATGTTTAGAATCTAGAACTCTCAGTTCTGGTTCATGTTTGTTGATGTTATCCCTTTATTACCTGATTTAAGATTTGTTTTGTGTTTAGCTCTGCTGGCTTCAGAGCCCGGTTTAGTTTTCTTCCCTCTGAGCTCCTATATTTGATGTCTAGCTTCAGGTTACTGTTTGTTCATTCTGCCTCAGCATCTACTATACCCTCCCTTTATCCAATGAAGCCCCATTATTTTCCAACTCTGCTTTATGTATTTGGATCCAAAGTCAATATTAAAACACAAACCTTGACACACCCATACTCTGGTAAATTCAGTGTTATTGCTAAACACCTGGAATAGACGCCGTGCTAGGATCCGGTCTCTATTAGAAAATGGTTAGCAAATACATTCACAGAGTCAAAGTATCTTAATGTTCCACACAAAGGGATACAGTTTCTTAAAGACATGAAACATCGAACAAACACGTGAAAAGTGTTAGTGAGTGTGGAGACGCAGATTAAGAATAGAAAGATATAAACTACTGTCTACTCAAGCAAGGGGAGAGGTATCAACAGGCTCAAGAAATCAAGGAAGTGAAATGTTTTCAGTTTATGTTCATGCATGTAAATAACACAAAAACAAATATGGAGTTTTGGAGTCTGTTGTCAATGGACTTGTTCAGTCTAACACGTTGAAATCACTTCTGGATGCCTCTGGAATGAAACTGAACTTGTGATCTTGAGAAATGAGATGGCAACGCATTCAAAGGTGGAGAACAAAAGCTGGTTTGAGACGACTGTGGGTGATAGTGGGTTTGATTTGATTTGATTTGATTTATTCTTTCGTTGTATAAAGCTCAAATTGGTTTGACTTCATCTATCAACAAGGTACAAAACAGACTGAAGACATGAACCTAAAGTATCTGCAAAAAGCAAAAGGTATTCTTTAGGATGCAGACAGATATGTCCAATAATTAAACAGCGTTCTACTCAAGTCCTTTCAGTTACAACGTGCTGTATTCAGTCACCACGTGTCTCAAACTAGTTCAGCACAGCGACTATATAAAGGCCTTCCTGTCACTGTCCATTGACATCAGTCATCTGTAGTGTTAAGAGGTTTCATCAACATTTCTACATCTACCTTTTCTCCTCTTTCCCCAACGTCGCCTTTCTCTCCCCTTAAGCCTGGCAACCCCTGTAAAAATACAGCTTCACTTAATCACTCTGGCTTTTCTGAGAGTGGGTTTTCTTGTCCTTACAAAGCTGAAGAAGACAACAGCTAATTAAAAAAAAGTGAAACTGAAAAAGGTGAAAGAGTGAATGGATGTGCAACAAGAAAAAAAAACTGTTATGACGTTCAATTTGACCAATTTTTACACAAAAATACATTGTTCTTATTGAGATTGGGTTTCTTTGTGTATAGAGTGATGATGCACAACTGAAACTAAATCATTCACTCATGAACAGAAGGATGGATAAATGCGAAACTTATGTTGAAACTCATTAGCTTAGCTTGTAGTTAAAAAAAGTCGTTTATATTGTTGCATTTCATTTCTTTTTAAATATTTCCAAATATTAAAAAGTTTTTCCAAGCATCGCTATGTAGGAAGAAGCCATTTGAATTGCTCTAACATCACTGAGACTCTCTTGTCTCATCAGGAAAATGGAGAAAATACAGAAAGAGACTTACGTCCAAGCCTGGTGTTCCAGCCGCACCCTGCAAACAAACAGCATCCAGGTGCATCACCACATAGCCAGTATTATTAGAGACTGTATTTAAGCCTTAGAAAAGATGGTGGTGGTGCTGATAGTGTGGAAGCCTATTAACTTAAATCTGCCACTGCAATGTGTGGAAAGTGTGGATATTTCCAGCCAGGGAAATACCGATATAACAGCTAAAAACATCAGTGATGCACAACAAGTTAAATCCAACACTGGCCCAGCTAGCAAGAGCTCCTAGCTCAACGTTAATCAGTTTCTTGATCCAATAGTGCAGGTTTGTAAAGCATATTTTCATAAAACTCATCTTAAGTGAGAATGCGTAAGTGCTGCCAACTTATCTTTACACTTTCTGAACAAACATGATAATGTCCTCAAACTTACAGGTAGTCCATAAGGTCCCCTTGGTCCTGGCTCGCCAGGTGCTCCTCTCTCACCCTGAAATAAATGAATCGCACGGTCACCCTAAAATGAGCCAGTGTGACAAACACCTAAAATGAAGGTAAAACATATTATATTTTCAGTGAGATATAAGGTCATAAATAAATGTGTCTTACTATGTCACCCTTCGGTCCAGCTGGACCAGCTGGACCTGGAGGTCCGTCCATGCCCTGCAGAAAGTCATGATGAGTTTACATTAATGGACTGAAGCACATCTACCAAAACAATGCTGATTTTCCAAACAGAGGATGAAAAACATTCATATCTCCACCTGGTTTGACCTACACCTAGCACACACATAAGTGCTGCTAGTACACGTGCAGTGGCCACAAAGCACATTTACAACACTGCTGCCACAGTTAATGTATGAGTTTGTGTTAATGCAACACAGGACAAACAAGAGCTTAATGCATGGTCACTATCCAGTGAACTAAACTCAGTGTGGCTCATTCAGCTCATGGCACCTCACTAAAAAAAAAATCTCAAATGTCAATTTCTTTTCAGTTACAGTAACATACATTAAAATGAAGTGACTGGGGACTGTATGGAGGGTGGGAGGGGGGGGATAGTAGACAAATTGGGTGGTGAAGCCTGTTGGTCACATGACACTCACCCTAGGTCCGGGCTTGCCGTCCAAGCCGGAGGCTCCCTGTGTGGTTATGGAGGTATGAGTGACATGAACAAGGCGGGATTAGTACCAGATGAACACTGTTATTGGGACAGGTTGATGGCAGGGTTTACAACTAAATTACACCTTGTGTTACAGGCAGCTTGGCAAAGTAGTCAGCCCAGGAAAATGGACATGAGGATAAAAAAAAAATGGAGAAGGCAGTACAGAAACACACACACACAAACAATCAAATGTAAGCACTAACACACAATGCAGAATCTGGCAGGGCAACAATAGAAATAAGGGGGTTCTACAGATGTCTGAAGAAATCAAGAGCAGGGCTTTGCAGTCGGACATATCCCATGGTGCATGGCTGTACTTACAGGAAGACCCAAAGGCCCACGGTCCCCTTTGTGTCCTGGCTCCCCTCGCATACCCTTCACACCATGCAACCCAGGTTCACCCTAGGGAAACGGGGGAGGCAGGCAGACATGACAGTTGCACCTGTATGGCTCATGTTTGTCCACTGGGCTCACTCCTGTTGCTTTACAGATGCTGACAGTGTGTTGTTTTGTCTGTCCAGAAATCTCTAACACCCTTCAATCAAGCAGTTGACCCCTTTGCATCTGGCATCACATTGACTTCCACTGTAGGTCTTATCTGCCGACTTCCCTGTACACTTTGTCTACATCTGAAGCATCATCAGCTCCTGTACCTGTTACCTACCTAATAGCTGGTGTGTCATGCAACATCAAGGCATGTGCAGGTAATTAACAGGTAAGCTTAAAATTATTTGTAAAAACTACTCCAAGGACGAGCTTGAAGGTTTATTATTGATATTGGAATCAACAACACAAAAACTTTCTGAACTTTTCATACTTCTGTCATGAGACAACGCAATGAGAACGGACTATGTCCACCTGCTCGGTAAGGCCTAGAGATGTGGTTAAAAGCTTCAGAAACGAGATGAAGCGGACACCTGCTTGTGCTGATAACTATTTTGTCAAGCTACTACAAGTACAGTATGTTATACTGAGTATTAATACACAAAGGTTTACAGAAGCTGTTACACATGTTTATAATGCATTGGAACACAGGGCATATTCCTGCAACACCTGAACTTGGATAAGGGTTGAAGGAACTCACAAAAACTGCCATTCTTGGTTTAACTAGACATAATGACCCGAAGGTGCCTTGGTATCCTTTATGTTGAGACTTACCTTTGCTCCAGGGAAGCCATGCGGTCCCTAAAAAACATCAAGAGATGGAAACTGTTAGTCTGTAAAGCACCTGGCTGGTCTCTTCATCTACAAACTTCTTTTATTGTGGTTACTTTTTAACCACAATAAATAAATAGCTGTTGAAAATGCAAGAATGGGGAAGGAAATTGAAGTGTCCCACAGGTGAGCAGTGCCAAGTCTTCAGCTGAGAGTTTCCCTTTCACTTTTTACACACAACACCAAAGCATTTTAATACTTTTTAGTAGAAAGCGCTAGTGTCAGAGCAGTTAGAAGATACCTGAGGTCAGTATGTAAATGGAGCATTGATAGTTCAAATGTTTAACCACAGCTTGGACATACGGCTAACATGCTTTGTTTACCATCATTGTGCGAATATGCTCATATGAGCGATCGTCATTTGCAATGCACCAAAGGTAAGTACGATACATTGTCCACGAAAAAAAAAAAACTCACCATGGGTCCTGGTGGTCCATGGGGCCCTGGTGGCCCAGGAGGACCAATAATCTGCAAAGGTATGCATTCATTACCAAATGATGGTTCAACAAGTATATATTACAATATTTCACACTAACAGAACAGGGTTTCATCTTTAACACAAGTATATTAATGTAAAGGTGAGTCTTTAACACGACTTACCGAAGGACCTTGAGGACCAGGCAGACCTGGATCTCCCTTATCTCCTCTTACACCATTGACGCCCTGAGGAACAAAAGCTTGATGATAGTTTGTCTAATAAGATGGATGAACATTTCGTGTCACATTTCAAATATCTCAGATGCCTCATCTTGGAAAATAATGTACAGTTCTTACAGGTAGACCAGGCAAACCAGTTGCTCCTTTGTCCCCCGAAATTCCGGGCATTCCCATGTCTCCTTTTGAACCTTTGTAGCCCTGATAGACGCAAGCAAAATCCACTTTGATTATTCACCCTGGGGATATTTGTGTAATTGTATTTTGTATTATAGGAATAAAGACAGACTTAAAAAAATGTAAATGTCCTGTAAGAGTTACTATTTCAGTTAATAGTCTAATCAATATTACGTGATGTGAGTAAAGGTCCCAGTTCTTCATAAACCAACTCACACTTGAGCTCATCTATACATGAGAACAGGGGGTCAACTCACTCTTTCACCATCGAGCCCAGGGAGACCAGGCATCCCACGATCCCCCTGAGACAACAGACAACATTTTTAACACACACACTGTGAAATACAAACGGTACCTGGAGGCGCTGCTGCAGGGCAGTTACAAGTTCATCTTGTTAGTAAAATAAAAAGTCAAGATTTTCACACAGACAAGGCAAACATTCATCATTTTAGTTAAAGGTAGGGTTGGCGACTCCTTTCAGAAGCATTTTTGTTACATTTATTGAATTTCTCTCTCCAATCCAATGGCAATTAATGCATTAAATGCACTAATAAGTAAAAAAAGAAAACGCCATCTGCAGCAGGGCTGAAAAAAGCCAATCAAAACCACTGAATGGCCTGTCAAACTAACTTCCTACTTTCTTGCACTCTGCCCGTGCACTCAATGTACAAGCCAAGTTGCTCCTACCAGGCGTTGCAGGCAGATGTGTTACTGCTCTGTTTTACAGCTAAAGCTAGAAAGCTATGGCAGGAAGGTTCCCAGAGCAGCTTTCGTTCACAAACAGAGACCGTCGTTACAGGCCAGGCCCTCCCCTTTAAGACACAAGGCCTTATGGTAATGTTGGTGTTGTTGCCAGACGTTGCTACCTGCAGTGTGAGAGCGTTGTTGTTTTCCTGAAATCTGTAAGTAGCAGTCAGGCAGTGCACGTTGTGTTTTGAAGGAGTGGCTTTGGAAAGAAATGGTGGGGTTTCTTCAGCTGTCTACTTTGAAAATTGAGCTTCCTCTTGCTGGTTTTTCCACAAATCACCAACCCTACCTTTAAGGGGAAGTAGAATTTACATCATGGGGGAAAAAACTGCAGAACACAGTGTTTACCTTTATACCCTGAGGTCCCACTGGCCCGGGAGGCCCAGGAGGCCCCTGCACAGAATGAGATTTAAAATTGCTCACAGTTCAACATGTGAACTATAGTCTTGCATGGGTGTGTGTGTGTGTGTGAATATCAAACATTTCATTAAGAACAGAACTAACCGGCACACTGACAATGTTAGCAAACAAACAGGATGTTCAACTCAAACCCATGCAGAGGTCATGAACGTGGCAGCTAGAACATGTACATAATTACCACCAACACAATTACAGATGTTGAGGTTAGGATGCAATTAAAGCAATTCATTATACAATTTAAAGCAATAATCTGGGGAGTGAATGGAAGACATCCACACTGGACCCTGGAAATACACACTAGACTCCATGATTTGATTCTACTAAATCAATCATGTAGAAGAAAAATCCATCCACTGATGATGTTTTTGTGCCATGCCAGGCAGTATAACACCTATAATAGCTAAATGTTGCTCTGTCACTCTAAAATAAAAACATCGGTGCCACCTTCACAAATAAAGGAGGATGCTGGGAGCATCATCTCCTTGCAACGTGTAGTTTTCTACACTGAAATAACACTAATTAAGAAGTATACAGCAGCACTGTGTGCAAAACTGAGTCAATGAAAGTCTTAAACCTTAAGATTTTAACTGAGGCCTAGACAGGGCCTTATAATAAAGACTGGTGCACATTTCCAAACAAAGGTTACAATAAAACAACCAGTTCACTCACAGTAAGTCAGGACTCACAATGATTTGATTATAATTATTATTTAAGGATGTTTTACAGACATTCAAAGAGACAACCAGCAACCCAGGAAGCAGAAACGCAGCACTGCAGCAAGATCCACTCATTGTTAAGCAAACATGTGGTGAGGGAGCACAACAACAGGGTGATGCAGACCAGGGCTGGGAATGGGTTGGGCCCCATGCGAGGACAAAGATGAATCACTTGTGGATATTACACAACACACAGACTACACAGTGCATCATTACCGTTACTGTAATAGTGGTAATCTTCTGCAGTGGACCAAGAGAAGTGGAAAAGAGAAGGATGGTGTGAGAAGTTCAGAGGTCACAGAGAAGAGAAACCTTTGTGTCATCACATTTCTGCATAGACACCCCCCTCAGTATTTGTTCTTGATTGAACAGATGTAGCCTATTTTACCTGTAAGGGACAGAGCCTGAATAGTGTCAAACCGATGACATTGGACTTTAACTTAAGGAACTCATTTTACATTTTCTTATGAACCACAGACGTAGGAAATTGAAAATGTGAAGTTAACATCACACTTGAAAAACAGCCAATTCATTCAGCTGATAGTCGAGATGAGATGCACTAATGTGGCAGAAAGCCCAACTTACTACAAAATAAGATGTGTTTGTTTGGCTGTTCTCAGTTTAAAAACCATCAAGGTACAGTTGCTGACATACAGTAAAGAAGTGCTTTATCTATTATAAAATAAATGCTTTGCTTTAACTGCCCATCCACTATTCCTGTCGTCAACACTCCTACTCCTCTTTGCATACATCAGTCTGTGCATTGTAAATATGATATATATTGTATGACATGGCAGAGACAGAGGGTAAGTTATTCATGAATAAGCGACCAAATCAAACCAAGTTTCACTGAGCTATGGACTCCTGCAGATAAAGGTCTGTGCAGCACCTGTGAGGGAAATGAGTTGCATTAAACAATGACTGGTCTTACCTGTAAAGCCTCCTGAATGTTTCCATTGTAGTCAATGATTTCGGTGGCTCCTTGGTCTCCTTTCTGCCCAGGGGGTCCCTGCACATGGTCAACATCAAGACACTCACTGCCATGTTGGAACATTTCTCTCCTGCCAGGCTTCTTGTATTTGGGAATACAAACTAGCATCTCCTCTGCACATCTCAGCACACTGCCATCTCAGCGTCACAGTCAGCAATGCAGTCGTCGTGGCAGTCATGGCCAAGTCGACCCATCTGCTCTGACCTGGTTGCACTGCAGCTTCTGGTATTGGGGCCTGCTGATGCTATTGTACCCCTTCTCATCTTTATGAAGCGTCACAACCAGTTCCTCACCAAGTGGAGCCATGTTACACTGGACAACTCAGGCCAAAACAGAAAGCTGTGGTGTTCACTAGTTCTTTTTTTCCCCACTTCATTCAAGCAATTACACTTAACTGGAACTCACAGATGTAGTCACATCTATTGCATTGAGTTCAGAGCCCTTATTTCCAGTGTAGCTTATCTAACCCGCTGGTTTGTAAATGTTTGTTAAATGCGGACTAACCTAGCCCAGGTTGGGTTTCACTGCTGCCCCCTGGTGGTACTAGTGTGGCTGCACTGGTACCTTCTCATGGGAAATCAAGGTTTTTGAAGTTGAATATTAACCAGCATTTGAAATCAGAAATTCACGATAGAGAAAGGAGAACAGAGGCATGTTTATTTAAGACAGATGCCTACCTTCGGCCCGACGAATCCCAAATCTCCTTTATCTCCAGTCTCCCCCTGATGTCAGAAGACAAACAAAAATGTCACTGCTGACAGAACTGTCATTACTACTCTTATGACATTCTCCAGTGTGGAAAACTATGATGACCTCATAACTCAGTGGTGATATAAAATACTATTCTACATAATCACCAATAATATGACATGAAAAACAGTTTTTCTGATGAGGAGAGCGGTGCTGTGGCAGTGTAAGTATTTTTATTGTACTGTTTGCAGTGGAAAATTCTGGTTCACTACATCTGAACTACAACAATACTACTAGAAATAACCAAAAGACTCAACCAGTACTGAGATATACTCACAGGTCTGCAGTTAGAAAGGTTTGCATTGTTAGTGTTCACATTTCTACAAGTATAGAGGTTCAAGACACAAGTTTCGACCAAAGATACTGGTCAACTATCAGTGGAAATCCAAGATCCGGATCACCTGCAAAATCTAATTAAACCGATGCCAACACAGAGCAGTTAATTTGGATGTAAAGAAAACGTGTCTGCCCTGCTCACCTTTGACCCTTTCAGACCAGGTGCACCAGCTTCTCCCTGTGAACCCTGTGATGAACAGGAAATCCATTAACAAAGAATCATGGTTTAAGGAACATTACAAAAAGGTTGTGCTTCATATATAAACCTTAAAGCATCCTCTCTGTATGAGTTCATTCAAATCACAGAGGAAACCTCATCACCCTCTGCTCTCAAGAGAGCAACACAGGCAGTCTCACTAAAATAACCGGCTTTTAATATGCCATAACTGACGAGCACCGGACATGTGTTTATTTGAACTCTGGCACTGATAAAGGAGGGAGTTCACTTTGGGGCTTTCTAATAGGATGTGAAACAGATCTGTGGGTCCCTCTGAGCTTAGACTGGAGTTTGAGCTACCTGCTGGGTGATGGCTAGACATAAACATTTATATTTGGTTTACTTTACACAGACTCCAGGGACATCCTCGAACTTATTACAGGTCGTAATGGTTTAGCCAGCTCCCTTTGTTAACGTAAGTGAATGCTTGATGAACTGAACACACCCTGGGTTTGGAAAGGCATTTTATTTTTGTACTCGTCTTAGTCATAGGTTACTGTGTTTAGACCAGTGAAACACCAGATGGCAGCAAACACCCATTAACCATGGGGTCAAGCTACTGTTGTTTTCACATTCTAACATAATTCATGCCACACATTCGGTGCATGAGTCACTGACCTTTGGTCCAACTGGTCCGATATCTCCTCGTTCACCTTTTCCTGGTGGACCATGGTCGCCTTTCTCACCCTAAACAGACAGAAGAACAAACTGCTCAGCAGCAAAGAGGCATAGCCACCATTCTCCTGCAACCTGCATTTAATAGGAGCTACAGAGAACTGCCGAACCAAGTTCTTTGTACTGTGATGCATGTTCTGAAGGCCTTCACTTAATGTTATTTAGCTTTAACATGACTGAAGAATCTACTACTACAACACACATCTCTATCAAACTGTCTGAATCTTTTAGGAAACATTCGAATCCCCTGTTGTATAGTTGTGTGCATTTTGTCTTAATGTGAAGCGACTGGAGGAAGCCAACAGATGGGGATGTGGTACAACTCAGAGCTCCTACTTTCCATTACTTATGGCTGATACTTAAACCAACAGCATTGAGTCACTCAACTTTTGTCTTTTTCCTCCTCAAATAGCCAATTAACACTGACAAAGTTAGAGGCAGGCAAGTGAAAACAAACCAAGGGACTATTAACAGTTTGAATAAAAAAAGTAAACTAAACTAAACCAGCTGTCTCAAATGACTGAACAGACCTGAACATAAGGAAAAACCAGCAGATCAAATATTTGCATCGATGATCCTGTGCTGTAGTTTCATCCTGACATTTGCCAAAGGACAATGCCAGACTAACAGATCCTGATTACTGATGCACAGCAAACAGCCTGATGCAAAAAAAAAAGATTGTGTGTCTGGATTATCGCTGCTGGCTTCGCAGTGTGATAATGTCAGGACTCAGAGGATTAGTTCGTTCTGACCAACTCCAAGTGACATTTGAAGAAACACCAGCAGCGGTGACAATAATGGATAATGAGACCATAAACTCTGATGATGATCACCGACAGGATGCCATAAAAATCTGTCAGCTCTCACTGTCAGACCTGCTTTGCTCTTCTCATACCGTGATACACAACATTACTGCAAGCTCAACAGCAAAAGTCACCCACCTTAGTCCCTGGGAGTCCGGGAAGCCCTGGCTCTCCCTGGGGCCCGAGGAACCCAGGCTCACCCTGAAGAAAAAATGAAAAATCTGAAAATCTTACAGAATTTTCCACTTTTATGGCGACGCATTACATCCTCTCGTTGCTAATGAGTGCTAAACACATACACAAGATGCATGGGCAAACATTCTAAAAACAACAGCCATGCACTTGCACATGCACACACTCACAGACACATGCATGAATCACACACATGAACACAAATGATCATTTACCCCCCGGTCTCACACACACATCACTGACTTCTTATGGGAGTTAGGATGTAACAAGTGAAAAACAGGTTCTCTGCCACATTTTCATTAAGGTTCATTAAGGAGGGAGGGAGGGAGCTTCCTATATAAAGTGTGATGCTGCAACCAGAGTTCCCACCTACAGTACGTAATGAACACTTTGTCAAACCTTTAAACTGATTGGATAAACACAGAAGAATGCAGAGCAGAACAAAGTGCAAGCTGCGTTCAGTGCTACATTAGCAAAACACTGTTAGAATTCATCAAGCAGAGGTCTCAAGTAAAAACAGCATTATATTAGATATCAAACCAAAGAGAGAGAGAAACCAGAACAGCAAAAGCGTTGAGTCATCATGCTTGTTTGAGCATTCCTTGCATTCACGTTACATTTCAAGTTGATGATCCTGAAATACACTGAGGCGGCTGCTGTTCTTTAAGTATAAGATGGCAGTGAGTTATCATGTGCTGTTCGTGCTTTTAGTTTCACCATCTGCTGCTGTTCCTTTATGATACAGTTAAAAAAGTCTTACGCAACAAAAGCCTAATTTGAAAGAACTAAATCAAATAAAACCAACTTCCTCTCCTTAACAAGCAGCAGTTTTGAGACATTTTGCAACGAGTCTCCTGACGCCACTTCCAGGAAGTGGACTTAAGTATTTGCCAGGAATACAGTGCTCCAATCATCCTCTGCTCACAAACCTTAATGAGGCAGCTTTTCTGCCGACTACCAGCATGTTCAGATCAAAAGCTGTGGCTGTTAGGCCTCGTCGGTTTGTCTAAGCACCTTACTTTTCACTGCACTGAATGTACAGGTCTTACACTGCCTCTGCCACCGCGGCGGATGTAACCTTGTAGTTTCAGTCCCCCACAGCAGGAAAAGCAAGATTAGGAGACCTTAATGTGTTTTACTGTGATGGGCTGAAGCGGGTGGACAGGGACAACAGTGGGGGAATGACTGGGGGTAAAAACAGCAAAGCATTTACCTTTATCCCTGGGAGTCCAGGCAGCCCTGGAAGTCCTGGCTCTCCCTATACAAGAAGAGTGCGACACATTACAGCCAAGCCAAGCTAAGCTAAGTCAAGCCTCATTTGTAGGCTCTTTGGGGTTCCATTAGCTCTGCACTTTATTTTCTATTTGTGTTTTTTCTGGCTACCATGCTGCTCTAAGTCTAAAAAGCGGCCTGCTGTCCTTAAGTGTATATGTTGAGTGTCATGTGCTCATGGTAAGCACCAGCAGAAGCACCGCACATGCACTTTCATACCAACACATGCAGCGTGATTAGTGCTTGTTATAACACAACCCTTCAAAAAGTGCAATTGAGTTACATCTTTAGGATTTTATTGCTTTGGGCAGGTGTGAATAGCTCTGGTTTCCAGAAGGAAAAACTGTCAGATACTTTGGATTAAAGCTGCAAAAGCTGTTAGAGCTACAAGGTCGTTCCGAGTTTGGCAGAGCATTGAGAGTTGGCCAGTTTCTCTCTTACCAAGGTCAGGTCATTGTCAGGTTGAGAACTCCAGACTCCCATTATATACAAGTTTGTGTAACACCGTCATTTGATTTAAAAAAAATCAGAGGTCAAGTCCCTTGTGAGGCCTCCACAAGACTTTCCAAACACAATTTCTGACTCGGAATAATTTAACGCTCTGCGAAGACCATTGTATTTATGACATATGAAAAGGAATGATTAGCGCTGCACAAAAATGATTAACTGTAATGGCACTCTGGGGACCAGAAACAGGGCTGTAAATTTCCATGGTTGTTAATGAAAGCATTGTAAAACTAATGAATTGAAGTCTCTCTTGTGGACTACTGCAGCACTTTACCAACACTAGCTGAATACCATCCAGTAGTAATATTTAATTGGAACAACAACTCAATCCCAAAATGACCATTATGATGAGAAATATAATGTGTGTGTCACTAAGCATCATAGCTGTAAAATCAGTGGACAAAAACGTGCATTTCCTTTATAGCACAGCATTAAAAGAAGACATTTGCTAAAGCCCTGCTGTCTAAAACCTGTTTGTGCAACCCAAGACAAGAGAAGGAAATTAATGGGATGCAGCACTTGGGATTAAGAAGTGTAATTAAAGGGCCACTGGTGCAGTCTGGTCAGATAGCACCTCTTCTGCATGCATGCGTCATCAGACTTCCACTACCAACAATAAAGAAAATGGTTGGGTGAGAGAGGTCATACCAACAAACACTGCTAAAGCAACAAAACCTTGTCTCGCTGGATTGATGCAAAGCAGTGTAATGGGACAGCTCTCAATAAAATAGTCAAAACATCACCAAGATTTAGTGTATCTAGAGGTGTTAGTAACTTAAACTGGCTCAGAGCAGGTATCAAGCCAAAGAAAATGTAAAATGAGTCAGAGCACTGTGATGTATCAAGGTTCAGGTTTCTGCTCAGTGAGCTCCCCCAGGTCCAGACATCCTTATTACACTTTAAACAGCGGGTTCACTGAATTTTGAATGCTCTTGTCAAAACCTGAGCTATTTTATCCTGCACAGCCTCAAACTTCACCTTTTACATTAAACCTGGTTCAGATGTGTGTATACACAAAATGGAGAGCTGCTGCCTGTCTGGTCAAATACTTTGTCGATACACAAACCGTTATTAACGTGAAACACCACATCTTAGCTCAACTGAGCTGTGGTTAATCTTCATGGTTAAAACTGCACTACCACCATCACTGTATCTATATTCATCTAGTTAGCTGCTACTACCTACCCACTGGGTACCAAGGAGCAATGTGCAGCAAAGTGCAATCCTTACCTTTTGTCCACTTCGTCCAGGCTCTCCGGGTTCACCCTGGAAATCATGTAAAGAGTTATTCTTTTCAAATGCTTCATTTCTGGATTAGGCTGCACCAGCTAATGATAAATCAGTTCTCTGTTCCACTAGCTAGGTCACGTTAGTAAACAGCATTCTGATCTGATTCGTTTACTCTTTTCACTCTGGAGCTGATTCAGTCAGCTAGGTTGACAGTTACACTGGAAATTGAAAATGTTTAGTAACAATCACAGTGTAACAGATTGTGTGATGCAAAGTTTATTTTAGTGACACTGAAAAACCTTTAGACTTAACGTGGCTCTCACCTTGATGCCAGCTGCAGAGGAGCCTGCGTCTCCCTAGGAGAAAGTTAAAATAATAAAAGAAAAACATGTAAATCAAAAAGTGACAGAGGTCATTCAGCTTTGTCTGTAAGGCCACAACAGGAAAGAACATTACTGTGCAATTACACCGAACAATGCAGAACATAATTACAACTACTGCATTTCCTGAGCCGTCTGCACGAAAGACGTCTGCCTTTGTTAAGCAGTGTTCTCAGAAATGCTTTGAGACGACATTTATCGCTACAGAGATGGGAATCGTTTCACTGCTCTTGCACCGTCAGAGCACAGCTGCACACAGGAGCAAATTCACAGCAGTATAGGAGGTAAGAGGCTTGATTGATATACTGCACTAAGACCAATCATTTAAGCCCTTTGTTCATTGCATCTCTTCAGGCAGGGTATTGAACTAGAAGGAGACATTAATCCAACAAATTCATCCAGACATCCAGAGCCCAGGCCCTTTCCTACATGCACTGCATTACTACTGCAGCGTACAGTAAAAACAGACATAAAACACAGGGCCAATAACTGTAATTATGGGCGGTTGGTGGGAATAGGGAGTGTGGAGTAGGAGACTGGGACTTCAGCTCTGGTGTGGTTTCACTACACATACGCCTCACGCTCAGAAGTTGCTTAAGGAATGTTTCTCACCCTCTGCTTTTTATGGGAGTCAATACGATGCAAAGCACGCAAGACTTTTAATTGTGGCCTTTGCAGATAATAAACTGGGTTACCATTTACAGCTGGTCTGTAAGTTTTTATTTATTTTATTGAGGGTAGATCAGAGTTAAATGATTGTAAAACAGGAAACTTTACATAGAGACATTCTGAATTTTTGCATCTTCATTGAATAATTGTTTTAGCTGCCAAAGCTGGTTCCAATCTGCTGTGTGTTGGCAGTGATGTCAGAATATCTCATCGTTACGTCTTAGACAAAACCTAAAATCTCACCTTGTTAAACTTGCAACTGAGCAATGAACTAAATGCGAGTTCAATTCTCTTTCCCATTTAGTATACGGCACAGTTTGCACACCTCTAACCCAAAAGCTACCACGACCGTGTGAGAACCAGCATCAGCTACACAAGCCATTAACACCTCCCTCCACTGGTGCTGAACCAATGACACCAACTGACATTTCCTGTCAAGGCAGATGTAACACCAAGCTCAAGAACCAAGTGACAGTCTTTGCTAGTTTAATCTCTTCCAAATGAACGGGATGGACAGAGTGTTGGAACCAGGAGGTGAGCTGAGGTGTGGCACACAGTGCTGAGACGTTCCATCTGGGCCAATTACCATAGTGAGACTACAGCCTGTGATGTAGCCGCAGAGCAGAGCAGGACAGAGCGCCGTCACCACAGCTCCACAGACCTGTCGCCGTATATTGGCATTCAAAGATAATAGCATGAAGCTCTCGTGATGAATGCTTGGTAAACCAGGCCACTTCTCCAGCTTTTTCCAGCTGGTGAGGTTAAATGTGATAAATTAACGAGTGGAGCGGAGCTGTGACAAATGTAATCATTTAATGCCACCAGTGTCTCAAAACGTGACTCCATATTAAGGCCATTAGCAGAGATGACTACATCCAGAGGGCTCAGCTGAGTATTGGCCTCAGTCACTGAGTTAGAACACACTGTATGAGAGGCAATACAGATTATGACTGGATCCCAGGACGGAAAGGCCCTGCCAACTGTTGAAACACAGCCAATTCACAAGAGCTTGGACCGGATTTTAGGATTCAAACAGCATGCCAACCACTGTGCCACCCCAGCTAGGGCCTGGAACTTCCCAAAACCAATTCAAGAGTTTACTTAGGCTTGATTTCTTTTTTTCTATTTGTGAGGTTCAACAAGAAGAGTCAGTTAATTTCACACCTAGTTAAATACTTAGGTAAAAGGCATCAGGAGTAAATGGTTTAGAGCTAATGCTCTGAAGTGTGGTAATGATTTGATTTTAATGAGGCTGGAGATGGACAAGCGGAGACTGAGGGAGACATTTCTCTTCACAGATGATGGCTCCTGAAAGTAAGCAGGTTATGTAAATGTGTACTATAATGAGAGGTGGAGAAATAAGAGTACATTTATCCAAATACTGCACTTAAGTACGCTTTTAAAATTCTTGTTACTGGCCACTTTATAAACTTTACTCCACCATATTTAGCTGATAGCTGTAATTACTCAGGCTTGTATAGATTGTACAAAATATAAAGTAACCTCAGAAAACAATGCAATATTATAGGTTCAGTATCTTGTTGTTGAGGCCTGATACACCTGCTCTTAGCTGTCAGGTCTGACTAAAATCAACTGTTGAACTAGCACCGTTCTACAAAGCAACTAACTTTATTTACATAGCACATTTCATACACCGTCACAAAGACGAGGCTAAACACGCAGGCTGTCAGCTGATACTGAACTTTAGTGGTGCGAGTTCTTAAAACAGCTATTTAGCTCACTATTAAACAGTGTTAAAAGTGTTTTAGGGTTAAACCAACAACTGCTTTTATTTTCCGGGGACTCCTGTGCCAGGCTATTTCTTGTCCAGTTGCTAGGCAACCAGTAGAGACTCAGGGAAGCTACTGGTCCAGGCCAAAAATAGCTGGGCATATTACCATCTTCAAATTGGAGAATTGTATTTTTGTTGTTGTTTTTATAGAGATGAAACCAAAGAGACATAATGGGGTAGTATTCGAGGTGCCGGTAGGGCGGATTTTGTTTCATTCAACCTAGTCAGCTGCTTTCCCATGTAAAGTTATTTCACTAAGCTAACTGACTGCAGCAACATATTTAATGTCCATCCACAGTAGCATCCATCTTCTAATCAACTCTCAGAAAGAACATGGGGAACACTTTCCAATAGCGTACACTTATTTCAGGGGTGGGGGGGTCACAGAGTTTAAGTAATGATAACCATGAAGTAATGAGGGACTAGTAGTGACCACGCAGTATTGGGGGTACAGAAGCAAAGACTAATGATCTCTAGTAACTCATCATCATCATCTGCTATGCAGTTCTTGATTGAGACCTATTCAGTTCCGCAGCATGTTTTTGTGCACTGCATTGGAACATGTTACCATTAAATAAATAATCCTGTTCATCAAAATGTCAAACTAGTCCTTTTAAACTGTCTTGCAATTAATTATATACTATACAACAAACTGACAGAATGGACTATGTGAGCAGGAAAATGACAGACCAATAAAAATCGACTTATGTTTGATACTTTGGTACAATTCACTGATATACAGACGTACTTTAATATAAAACCTTGACTTTAGGTCTTTTACTAGTGCTAAAGTACACTGTGGAACTGTAAGTAAAGGATTTGAGTACTTCATCTAGGATGTGTGCTTTTAAAGCTCCTAACAGAGAGCAGATCTGTGCCGTCATCTCGCCTACTTCACACCCCACAGATCCCCCCCCACCGTCAAAACAATCTCCCATTACATCACGCAAACTCCGACAGGTCTGACTGCTTGCACCGCCATCTGTCTCTCCCTGCAGCGCTCTCTGGGGTCTCTCTGCTCACCATACAGAAGCTTTCACTGCCTGACCCCTCTCTCTCTCTGTGTCACCACATTCCCCCTGCAGTGCGTGCTGAATAGTGTTAACCAGGAGTGGAACAAGTACTCCGATTGTTCACTTGAGTAAAAGTAGAAAACAAACCAAAGTGTAAAAATACTCTATTATAAAATGATATTTACTGATGTGTTACTGTGTACATCACATCTCATGTTGCAGCTGGTAAAGGCAGAGGTCATTTTAATTACCTTATGTGTATATATTTTGAATTACTGCTGGTGACAGCTTGTGAATTTTACACCAACAGCCAATAAAGACAATTTTCCTTCTGAAATAAAAATACTCATATAAAGTAAACATACCTCTAAATTGTACTTAAGTAAATGTATTTAGTTACTTTCAACCTCTGGTGTTAACTTTTTGGAGGCTGGAGTTTGTGCTGCTGGTGAATAGAGGTGTTTATTTAACCTCATTCATATAAAAGGGTGGACAAAACTATAGAAACGTGTTAAAATAACAGAACAATTCAACAATAGTTTTACTTTGGTGTACCTGATAAACTGACAACTGAGTGTGTGTCTGTGTGTGTGTGTGCATTTTCCTCGCTTGAACTGAAAAACCAATCAATCCTTAGTGTGCACAACATATGTTAAACTCATCTGGGTGTAGGTTTTGATTGGACAATTATTTCTGCCATATGCTGCGCACTATGCTAGAAACACTCGCTCTCACATTCTGTCATTGTCAGTCTGACAAGATGGGCGCCCATCTTTTAATAACAAAATCTTTCCAGCTCTTGAATCTACCTTATGTCTCCTTTTATTAGACAACACAGGAGTATGCTCTTGAAGAATGACAAGCAGGTGAATGGCTACAGAAGTCTGAATTCCTATGATACTCAATTCCACTTTTTCTTTTTCAGTCCTGTAGCAAAAATCCATCATATTTCCTCCTTTTACTGCACTAAGGTGGACCAGATCAAAGCTGTGCTCGAGTTTTATCACCCTCCACTTTCCTTTTTGTTCACTAATTTTACACAGATGATACCCTGCATCTGTTTCCCTCGAATGGCGTCTTTCTTGGCAGCCCTGCTCGGCGGTCTTTTAAAAACCAGAGGACACATCGAGTGAGAAGTTATCAAAGTTGTTCTCTGCTGTGGAACAATAAATTGGCAGTGATGTTTCGAGTACGCTGCTGGTCTATCAGTTACATTTTGTTTTTATACCTACCACAGGATTCCTAGCAAACAGAAGCGTCTCCAGTGTTTTGTGCCTGCTGTCTATTCTCAGCAGCTGTGTTACCCTTTTTAATCTTTTTAAACAACTTTGGGAACCGTTTGTTTTCCCAGAGGTGTGAGAAGCTGAATCTAAATTTTCAATCCATTTTATCCAATCCATTATTGTTTTTGGAAATGATTGACAACAAGCATGAAGGTAAAGAGGCACAGATTTTGTCATGGTCACCCAGTGCACGTAGAAAAGTATCTCAATCGAAACAGTACCAAAAGTACTTATTATGCAGAATGGCGCATATTGATGCACATTTGTGTTCATCCCTTTAATGTTGCAGCTGGTAAAGGTGGATCTGACGTTCAACTTGTATTGTCGTGCTGGGTAGCTGGTGAATTTCCCACCAGGGATCAATAAGGTCATGATTCTACTGCGTTTAGTTTTATTGTTCTAGTTCTAAAAAGGAACTAAAGTTATCAAATGCATGTAGTGCAGTAAGAAGTACAAGATTTGTTTGTGAAATGTAGAGAAGTCCAAGTATAAAAGTAACATAACATAAAAATACAGATACCTCAAAATGGCACTCAATTACTTCCCACCTCTGCAGCCTGACTACAGCTGACGGCACCTGACCTCGCTACTTCTGGTGCTCTCCACACGTCTCTGCTCACATGGCTAACATTAACTTTATGTTTCTGGACCACAGCCAGACTGTCTGCCGTTCCTCTGTGCAGGTTCCAAGGCATAAACAAAGACAATGACAGGTAACGTGGACTCTACATACCTTCTCTCCCATATCACCTTTCGGTCCTTCTTCACCCATATCGCCCTGTGATGAAGTAAGAGAAAGAAAAATGTTAAGTCTTTTGACTGGAGGGATGTGTCAATGCTGAAACATCTGAGAGTCTAATATCTAAAGGAAAAGACCTTAAATATGATTGCCAGACTGAACAACAGTAACACAGTAGGATGTTCTTCTTTCGGGGATTGACTGTAAAACAGCCCAATGGAAAAAGCCAAGAACACTTCAGCAGAGATGAAGTGCCGTTACTGTACATGTTAACTTCAATAACTTAGTCATCACACTTGGTTCAAATAGGACTGGATTCAGGTGATGCAATATGCTGTTTGGCTGATTGTGGAGGCCAAAAACCTCTGGCACCCACCTTGAAAAAAAACATTACTTCTAAATTCTGTCTTTGCTGCGTTTAACAGATTGAACATCAGTGCTGTTTTTAACCATGGCAGCAGCAGCAAGTTGGTCCAGACCAAAGAAATTTGAAAGGAAATGTGACCAAATGCCTGCAAAACTGTCAGTCCCATCAGCCTCAGCTGTACTTTGAGTTTAGCGCTAATTAGCCAATGTTAGCATTTATCTGCTTGCATTAATGTCACATGTTGCACTGCTATAAATTCACCTGGAAAGCTCCTAATGTGAAGGTGACTGGCAAAGCCAAAGTTTTAAAATTAACTTCAGGAGCCTCGAGAAATTTAGAATATGGCAATAGGCTCCATGCATCTTAAACAGGCGGATTTATCTTATAGATTATCTGATAGTGTTTTCTTTAGTTTGCCTGCTGGCTCTTTGGTGAGTCACCAAAGCCCAGTCCAACAGTTTATATTAACATATCTGGCTCCACTCAAAATAAAATCCACTTTGGACTTCGTTTCAGCACCATTGTTGTTAGGGAACAGATCATTTCACTACTGACAAATCCACATGATTTTATATTAAGTAAACGGTAATCTAATCAATTGTACTGGAAATCAAACAATGAAAACCAGCTACAAAGATTTGAAACCAAAGGCCGTGTCCTCGTGAAGAACGTTCAAAAGAAAGTTCAAGAAAATGAGATTACTGAGCTCCGCTGGGCTGCACGCTCAAATTCAACTATTTGCCAGGAGAGACGCTGGTGTTTATTTTGCCATGTTTGAATCTGTTAAAACTATTAGTTTAAAAAGCGTTTTCCTGAATTTACCCACTTAATTAGTGAATAAAGTCAAAAACTACCTGCCTCATAGTAACTTCTCATAGTACTTTAGAGCAATGATCCCCATACAGGGGGTCAGGACCCAACAAGGGGTCAAAGAATAAATCTGACAGATCAAGAAGAAACGTTCCTTCTTCCTTATTGTGAAATACTATAGTTTCTAAGAACTGATGAACATCGTGTCTGACAGTGACTCAAATGCAGCCTATCATAAGGCAGAGGGGTCATGCTGCATAAGACAAATGTTGACATCTGCTTTAGAGTGAAGACTGAAGGAGAACAAACAGCAGAGCAGCAAAGCTTCAACAGCCTTGTCAGACCATGGACTGAGTTAAACTATCAACCTTCATAATCTCCCAGAGGCAGTTTCTATAACTGGATGCTGAGCCATGATTTGCATCCAGTGAATTCACCACAGGACACCTGTGATGGTGTGGTTGCTAGGAGACAGTGACCACACGGCAACATTATGACAGCGAACCAGGTGTGTTAATGATGGGGAATATTTCTCCGATTGGAGGGAAACCTCAGAACAAGTTTTGTGGTCTTAATCATGACCTCCCTTCCCCAGCCTGCCTCACTCTTGACTCAGTGTTCACACCTCCCCCTCCTCCAACAAAGGGGAATATGGGCACCATTACAATTAGGGAATGGAGAGAATAAGTGCGGCTATTGTGTGGGCTCCTTTTTTTTTAGCTGGAGAAATTGGGTTCAGTTTTGTGACTCACCGAATCACTGAGTGGCAAATCTCAGAAGGGAGGCACTTTGAAAAAACACGCTGTAGTCATGTGGAGCAAAGGCAGAGCTGTCGTTATTTCATCGTGACAGCTGTTCTAACACATGGTGAGATACCGGGACCCATGTTTGCCATGTTTGGTGATCTGAAACATCTTACCTTTTCACCTCGCTCTCCCATTTCACCCTGTTGAGAAAGAAAGCAGCACATTAGAGACAGAAAAGCTCAGGGGGATCAGATGAGGAGTTATTGCAGCCACACTAAGGGTCAGATGGTATCTAGGGTTAAAATCACGTTGGATTATGGAAGTTCTCTTGCATTATTGGCAGATTTTTACCCAGACAGACCATAGTGTCAGATTTTAAAGGGCTATTTAAACTTGCACTCGTCATCGCACCAAGTGATGAACTCTAACTCTACCAATAGTACACCACAAGAATTAAATCCTATATGTAGGTACCACTATCACATTTAATTACAAACATTTGGTATGAGGGTGACTGACATACTGGCAAATACTGTATCATGCAGAACATGATATTCAATAAAGACGTATGTTTTTCAAATAAGAATGGTAAACGGTAGTTTAAAAAAGCAAATTGTGGCCAAAACTAAGATTTCTTATGTTTTTCAAATAAGAATGGTAAACGGCAGTTTAAAAAAAGCAAATTGTGGCCAAAAGTAAGATTTCTCTAATGGAAAAGGATGAAAAATCAAAACACAAGTGTGATGGCCATTTATTTGCAAAAATAAGAGCACAAAGTGTGCACCAGACCTTGGCTCCGGGGATACCGTCCAATCCTGGGATGCCAACATCCCCCTATGGGCAGCATAACATACACACAGTGGCGGTATTGAACTCTGATTTCAGGTCAGAAAATACAAAAGTCTGGAGACAGAGATGACCTGTAACCTTCAGAGGTTATGTCTGTGTCGTTGGTGCACAGCTGGTGTTAGCTGATAGAACAGATGGAACAAACTCTTCACTTGTACAGTGCAGCTATGACTGAATCAATTCCAAAAGAGTATAAAATATTAGAACAAATAAATCTGAAATTAGAAAGGATAAGCAGGCTGATTAAAAGCTTAATTGCGTCTGGCTTGGTTCTGAACAGTCCATCTGACGAATGCCAGTTTGCTGTTAGTGCGAGCTGGACTCCCTGTTCTCTGTGGCTCTCACAGAGAAACCAGCCTCGGCCCATCTGTTGCCAAAAACAATTAACCTTCTGACATTTGCAAACCTACCACATCATTAGGCTTTCAGAGATGGAGCAGCGATTCCTCATCCCAGACAGACAGCTTTAACCAGATCAGTAATGAAGCCAGGGTGGAAACTCTTATTTAAAATACAGGGAAACTCACTGCTCAGGACTGAATAGATAATGATGAAAACCGGGTTACTCTACACATTCTCTGCCCTTCTTTCTCCATTTTTACCAAGAGACTGATGGTTCATGGAACACTGTATCAGAGTATTCTCCATGTATAAGGCCTATGCTCCCTGGTACTACACTAGCAGTGAAACTCTTCATATATGCTGGAATCATGTGTCTTCTATCAGCTCACATGTGGGAGTCATTGACGTGATAATGATGCTATATTGCCATAATGATGGTGAAGTCTGATTAGAAAACGCCTTGACTGGGGCTGGAAAGGTTTGCATCAAGTGATCCTTCCCTTCCAGTGGATATCTATGTCAGATCGATACGATGTCTGTCAGTCAACCTGCTGCTGGCTGAGCAGCTTTAAAGGACACATTATGCAGAATTCACTTCCAGCATCTTCCGACATTCACATGGGTCTCCGATGTAGAGACACAGTCCCTGCCTGCTTTGCTTTGGTTTTTCGTAAAAACCCTGCTCAAGCACGCTGTTCTGGATTTGTCTGTTTATGACGTCATAAAAAATGATGCGGCAGTTCATTTCATAGACCCTCCTCCCGCTTGGAGCCGTTTTGGTGTTGCCAGACTGCCAGTGCGATTTTCTTACTAGAACAGCAGACAAACAGCAACATAGCTCGAAGGAAAGCAGGGATGCTGCTCGAGTGTTGCAAAAACAAACAAGTTTCTACCTTCTTCCATCCTCAGAGCCAAGGAAGACGGTGGATATCGTTCATTTATTGTGAAAATGTTCCTGACGATATCCCTAAAACATTGTATGTTACTTTCTATCACTAATCATTTCATGTGGGAGTGCTTTCTTAACGAAGGTAACACAGGGCTGTGAGTGTGAGTTAGACCCCTGAGCGATCCCAGTTATTATGATGAAATATATGGTAAAAACGTAGCTAATGGTGACTAACGATATTAGTAGAGCTAACGATAAAGACTGGAGCTGGTAGGCGGTTCCTGTTCAGCGCTGTGGATGCTGACCAATCAGAGCAGACTGGGCTTTTAGGGAGGGGGGCCAGGAGCTAAATCAGTGTGTTCACACAGAGCAGAGAACAGAGTCCAGCGCTAGTGGTGCTCTGAGGAAACTAAAAATCTTCTAGTAAAACATTTAAATAATATAAAGCTAAAAATTAGTATAATCTCTTGACCTCTACCTGCTTCAAACTTTCTGCATGAACGGCACATACCGTAACAGACTGTTTAATAACTGCAGTGCACAGGACTCGAGTTCTACTTCATGGATGCTGGAAATTCCTGCTCCTTACTCAAGTACAGAATTAGACCTTCAGTGTTCACTGATTCCAGAATCAAACGTCTTTACTCTGGTTGCTGTTACATCCCAATTTGCCTCCAGGCTCATTTCTTTGTAAACCTCTCCTTGATATTAGAAAGAGGCCACCAGTGAAAACATCTCCCCTTTCATTCTTGACACTAATGCCATCATTTGTTCTGGAACAGTGGAACACCTGCACTGTGTCTTCTTTATTTGGTCTGACGATGAAATGCACAAGTGAGCAGATCCACAGCTTGAAATAGTATTCTGTGGTTAAGACTTGAAGATGCAGGCCAGAAGAGTTCCCTTAAATACTGGTTTGAGGCTGTCAGAATGTGGGAGAGAACTTTTCAGCAACACATGAACAAAAACACTGCACAACTAGTAAGAAGTGTAAAGATTTGGTCCACAAACATCAACTTTGCTGTTTGTATGAGCTCACCTTCAGCCCATCAGCACCTGCGACGCCAGGAGGCCCGAGAGAACCCTGGGAAATAAACACAAATGCCTTTAGCCGTCGCATTAAATGATCACAGTCTATTTAGCTCTCAGAGAAACTGCACATTGGGGAGTTAACAGCTATCAAAAATTAAAACTGTGCATTTTCTACCTTCTCAAAAAAAGAATCCTATACAAAATCTACTCACAAACAAAACTACAGTTCAATTAAAGGTCAACAACACACCAGATGTGGGATAACTGTGGGATTTAACAGCCTACAGAAGGGCTCCTGTGCTGATCTTACCAAACCAGACCAGAATAAATACTGCATGCTATATTTTAAGATCTGATAAGTTATAGATGATAGAGGCAGAGGACAAGACTGGGAGGTGAGAATAAGTTCAGCCATAAAGTGAGAGAAAGTTTTAAAAAGGGCTTTATATACACTGTAGCTCTCATGTTTGCATATACTGGTTTAAGTCATATAAAGATGATTAAGAACAAAGAACCCCCATTTTCTTGCCTGGTGGTTTGCTTATGTTGGCTGTTTGTGCTCCGTCCTAATAAGTGATTTACTGTTACCATATTTATAGATGCATCAGAAGTAAAACAAAGGCACAGACATGAATGAAAAACTGATTGTCTTTTCTCTCTTAAATATGGACAATAACAAATATGAAGAGTGGGTCGCATTAGGCTGGGAGAGGTTATAAAATATGTTTGTCCAAATTAGATCATTTCACATATCTGATTCATCTGATTTTATATAATGACCCTTAATCAATCACTGAGGTGATGAAACTTGATTAAGTGGTGCTGTGGCCACTTTGCCCAGGGGCCTGGCTTGTGAGTCATTAACACGGCGGTGTGTCATTGTCGACCCCTCCACACACACACACACACACACACCCCTCCTACGTCCACAGGAGGCCCTGCCGACAGATGACAGCACAGACAGGAAGTGTCTGATTGGGTTACACTGAGCAAACACAGGCAGCTACCTGAAGGCTGAATATGGCTTACATCTGTTCCTCACATCAGCGCTGCAGGAACTCGCAGCTCCAAGTTCTCTGTTCTCCGTCTCCTCTGTCACCTTTTTTCTCTTCCTGCTTGTGGAGTTTGAGGTTTTAAGTCTTCTCTTCACATGCCCTAAACCTGCCACCATCACTAACCTCCAGGTAAACATCCTTTTCTGCAACTTGTGTACAGTTACTATCAAATCCAAAACATTATTCTACTGCTAAAGAAATTTCCTTGTGGTTTAGTTTAGAGTTACGATAAAGGAGAAACTAAGAATTATAACAGGTGGAAAAGTTAGAAGTCAATGGATTTTTTTTTACTCACCTTTGTCCCTGGTGGCCCTTCAGGCCCCTGTAAATAAGAGACAGAGAGTTAGAACAAAAGTCCACATCTCATAAGGTAATATGAATTCCCAAGCCAACAGGGTCACTGCAGAGAGACTAGCAAGGCTCTGGGGATTTCATACAGGGCACACAAGCCCTTCAGGCTGAACAGAACCACAATCAATCCCTTGTTTTATTCTTCAGTGCAGAATGAAAATCAGCTCACTCTGTCTTCTTTTCATTGAGCTGCGCCAAAAACATGAACCTAATGAGACCAAGGGTAACAAAATTTTTTATAGTTTTATCTTGTATGTTGATCTTTCTTTATTCGTTTCAGCAACTGTCAAAACTTTCGTTTGGCTGTTATGACTGCATTTTAAGTGTACAAATGGGCCAAGAGTTGCAAAGACTTAATAAAAGTTAGTAGAAAAGGGCACCACATCTCTAAGTGGGATTTAACTCTGTGATGGACGTGTTCCAGTTTGAACCTGCTGTTAGATTACCACTGAGAAACTGGAGGCCATGCTGGATCTTCAGCCTCCTCCACCAAAACCTGCCTAAAAACAACAAGACTGCTTTGTGAATAAATTGAGATACTAAGCAGAAAGTTGCTTCCTTCTCCAGTGGTTAGAAAACAGTCATCACCACCTTTATGCTTGGTGGTCACGACACCTGATGCTGGCCAACAATCTTCTCACCATCGGCTGAGGATCTACAGTAAACGGTGCCATTTGGCTCATCACGTGCAGCTGGGACAAGGCCATGCAGACCTTATGCCCCCCACAAGTGCTCTACAACAGCAGCTTTCCTAGCATTATTCATGTTGAAGCAGTATAATTGGCAAAGCTAAAGATTTGGTCCCCTGATGAGTGTAGAAGAATTGTTTGCCTGTATTAAAAAGTGAAGACATTCAAGTTGAAAGATTTGACTGGAAATGCAAATTCTTGTGAAGGAGAAGTGGCGCCAAGTTCTGCCTTGTGGCCAAAGCACCACTGGATGCTTGGCTTTGCTAACAGGACCACTGTAATGACCAAATATCTGAGAATAAACACTTTGCTCCGTCTCTCCAGGTCTTGTTTAGTTTCTGTTGATGAAATGAGGCCATCACTTAGTAACTGAAGCTCAAATCCTGCCCATTCTTTACTTCCATTTTTACAAAATTAGCCTGTAGCAGCAATTTCTAACATTCACAGAAATGGCCCTCACAGTTGCAGCTCATTTATGCTGCATTCCTTCTGCACTTATAATAAAAAGCTCAATGAATAACTTTCATTATACCAGCCAGAGAAGGTTTCCTCACACTTGTCTTTAAAAGCCTTTGTTAGTTTTCCTCAGTAGGGTTTGGTAAACATCTTTATCATCCACTAGGTATGTGAGAGCATGCGCCACTTGTCTGATCGCTAATTAGCTTGGCTACATCAGAGACCACAGGATCTACTGGTTGAAAGGGAGACTTTTTCACTAAGTCAAAAGCTCTTGAGGAAGTCTCGGCCCTGCTTCTTTTGTCCTTGCTTTGGGCCCCGACATTAATAGAAAATTAAAACTGAGAATATCTTCATTGAAAGGATAATCATTTCAGCTAGAAGTAGTCATGATAGCACACGCTCAGCATATGGCACCTTAGCTGCCTCATTTAACATTCATAAAGGGAACTCACGAATGTGCAACATCAACAGGACGCCTATTAAAGTCGAGCATTCGAGCACAAACAAAGCGCTGAATGTCTGGTGCTTTCATTCATCATTCAGAAATGACAAACAATGAGGCAATTGCCAGGCCAATCCCCCACATTCACTCTGCAGTCGAATCCTCAGCCACTTGAGCTTCCAGTGTATGCAGCTCTTGCTCAGCAATTACAGGAAAATGTCTGAGCTGATCAAAGCAGAGAAAGGCTTCATGTCTTGGAGGGGGCAGGTTGAGAACTTCTGTTCAAAGCTTCTTTTTCATTTATAAGATCTTTGAAAAGCACCTGTTTACATTAAGTTAATGTACTTTCAGCTTTAAATGAAAATTATTTTTTGACAAGTCTGGCCAGTGAATCTGGCCAAACATAGGGAAATAAAACTTACACAGCGTTTGGTGGCTCGTCAAAGAGGCGGTTCTTCTCGGAGAATCTGAACTTATGTTTAAAGCTTAAATTTCATAAAATGTATTTGGAGCCATGCAGGAAAAACTAATCACTTAACCTACCAAGTATTTTCTTGATCGTTTGGTCTGCAGCAAAATGAAATAGTGAATTAAATCTCATGTTTTTACTGTATATGTCTTGTGTCCAAAAGCAAAAACTGAGAAAAGCAGAAAATCCTTATCTTGATGAAACCATCAATCAAGAATGGATGGAGGTTTTGGTTTAAAAAAAAAAAAAATCCATTTCCGTCAGTTCATTGATGAACTGATTAATCATTTCAGTTTTAATGTCAAACATGTAAAGAAAAGAGGATTTGTATAAGATTAAGCCACTAGCTCCTGACCTCAGTGTTTCTAAGGCACTGACTACAGCCCTACCTGAACGCAAACAGAGCACGACAATAAGACTCAGGTTGTTAAGTTTTTTTTTAAGAAAACACAAAAAAGCCTTTTTTTTATTGGTGTCGACATTTGCCACAGCGCTGCGGGATTCTGCAGAGCACCATCTTTACTCCTCATGTTTGGCTCCACATCAAAGGAGAAACAGTCAAGGACACCAAAATATAATAAGTATGTCCTCATTATACAGACATTAAAAACAAAATATGGCTTTACATTCATGCCTGTTGTGCATGTGAAAAATATCTAAGGTAAGTCACCATTGCATTGTGGGTATTTATGGAATGAATAGGATGTAAACGTGATTCAGCAAACATCTGCATCAAAACGGGAAGCTACACCAGAGAGAAGATGGAGGAGGCTGTTCTAGTTGTTGAACAGAACGATGCTTTGAACACAGCACTGGTTTTCCATAATTAGTCACTGTGAAGCAAAATCAAGCCCCAAATAAGAACTATGTGCAAGGCTGCAAGCCACCTTTAGAGAGCTGAAGACCACTTAATTTAGCCCAGAGAGACCTTGTGGCTCTGATGAGTTTGAATAGAGTCCTGAAAATATTTCCTTTTTCTTCTTCTACTTCTTCCCACCCCCCTCCTCCTCTTTGTTGGCCACAAGAGCTTAATCCTTCTAACCAGCACCATATGTCCTGAAAGGCTGGTGGAAAACTCTGGAATCTGCTTTTTGCCTCTTTAACAATACCATCTACATCAAAAGGCTGAGATGTGTCAAGTGGACAGTGTAAAACAAGCAGAAGCAGGTTAAAGAGCAGCATCAGGACTCCTACCTGCAGCTCGCTTGTGCAAATCAGTGCAGATCACAGATGAGCTTTCAGTTTGCTGCACAAAGTGGAGCAAGTCACTTATGCATATTAATTCATACCGATTTCCAAAGGCTAATCCAGGGCGTGTACTGGTGTCACGCTTCTGAAGAGAGAATCTTTTTATTCCGTCTCCAGAGGTTTGACAGCCCAAACAATCACTTACAGAACATCTTCTCTTTGATCCATTATCATTTTTGTTTTGTTCTCATCTTAGGAGCAGCAAGAAACAGAAGCTCAGACCTTTTTGTGTTATGTCTTTTTACAGCCTCGGGGACATGCTGATACTGCACTGCTTTAAGAGGAGGCTTCATTTTCAAATAATGACATTCCGCCTTGTTAAAACTACATTAGTGTCATGCAACACATATACTAATAGTAGGCCTTATTTCAAGAATTATAGCCAACGGCCTTGTTGACAGGGGAGACAGCTGTCACCTAACTATAACAGGACATAAGTTAATTGTGCCTCTCCAGTCTATAGTTCACATAATTCAGGGATGCAAACTTGCTGACTAGCATCCATTGAGAGCCATAGAAAGAAAAGGTTTGTCCTTACCATGGGTCCTACTTCTCCAGGCTGCCCTGCATCCCCCTGTAACAAGTACAGAGCAGTGGGTGAAGTCTTCATTGAAAAGGTGAGATCATTTATGCAGTTTAAATGATGATAAACAATATTCAGGGTGAAATGTCCTAGTTTCTAATAAAATAAAGAGCATTTTGCACATTGTGTTTCACTGTGGTGCATTGAGGCTAGATTGCCAAGTAGAGCTCACCAGTGTTCTGCTAATATACCAGTGGGAGGCTGTACCCTACCTGTACCTGTGTTCTAATCTCTGCTTTTGGTTCAGGCCAGCATCTGTTCCACAATTCTTAGGGTAGAAAGGAGACATGTGCCATATCTACCCATATCTACATCCCTGTGCCAAAGTCGTTTGAGCAATTTTCCATTTTTATCTTTTTGTGACATTTACAAAAGTTTCTCCACTCTCCTTTGAGAGGTACATAAATCACGAGAAATATAATCCCCCAGCAGAAGCGATTTAATTTCTTAGGAAAAGGCAGCAAATATTGCAGCTGAAAGAATTAAAATCAATAATCATCCAAAACTTGGAAAATACAGATATGCTTTAATATTTCTACATGCCCACTGTGAATTCTCTCAAGCCAATAAAGACCAGCTCGAGGCCTGGAAGCTTTTACGACTGAACATAATTAAGAGAACTATTGTTTCTTTTTTTTCTCTCGCATAAATGAATGTGATGCCAATGACAAGCTTAAAGACAAGGGAAATGTTATAAAGAAAACCAAGTAAACATAACTCTATACAGTAAACCAGCCTCTTGGAAGCATATTCATGTTTCACTACAGACATTAGGGCAACGAACTACAGTGCAGCTCATCTAGTCTTCATTAGGAAGGTTTTCCTCCCAGCACTGAGTCAAAATCTAACTGAATATGACTTATTTTATCCTTAATGGAAACTGTTATATTTATAAAGGAAAAATCCAGAAAGTGCTGTTGATCCTGTGCCAACTGCAAAACACTTTTTCAGCTCAAACTTTCCCAATGAAGGCGAGTACTCACTGGAAGACCGGCTACGCCTCTGGGCCCATCCTTGCCAGTGTCTCCTGGTGGCCCCCTCGGCCCAGGTGGGCCTGGCGGCCCTGGAGGCCCAGGTGGTCCAGCTTGGCCTTGATCTCCCTGTGTGGCAAAAGCACATTTAAACATCATTATGCTGCAATATTCACAGAGACCAGAGCCACTGCAGTTAATGATAATGAAGAGACACTAGAGGAATGATCTGGTGGGTGGCTGTGGGCTGCCTCCATTCATGACATGGAGCAGAGTTAACATTTTGGATCTTATGACTATGGCTAGCATACAGCAAAGAGGAGCTGTAATGGCTTGATTTATAGCAGAAATAGTAATCATTTAAAATACATGGACATAAATATGGGTTGTGAATTTGGCACTGGCTTTAAAAAAAAAAGCCACATTTGTCAGTGTACAGCTACAAAAATCAGGGTGAAATTATACAAAAAAAAATGTGTGGTCCGATAATATAATGGAATATAAGAGATTCCAGGAACATATTCAACAATCTAACTGAAGTCGTGCCATGACAGTAATTCATTTTACCTTAATAAAAGCTTAATTTTTAAAAAGAAAGAGTCTAAGATGGCTTATGACAGGTCTGGCTGAAGGCGTGCATGCAGAGGAGGTTCGGAGAGACGTGGCACGATGGACAGAGATGAGTGAGGACACAGCCACTACCTTAATGAGCCGCCGCTTTATGAGCTGCTGGTCAGCGGAAAGAAAGCCATGATTGATCTTAGGGAAGACCATCTGAGCAGGTGTGAGGTCAAGAGGTCGTAGACCAGAGGTGAGAGAAGGTTGAAGAAGGATGAAGTCCCAGAAGGAGGAGGAGGAAAAAGGTGAATGCAAAGAGAAACATTGTTAGAAAGGCCTGTGTTCATGAAACCCAGCCCAACGCCTTCACAGATGCTGGAGAAATCCACACTTTTCCAACATGGAGGTGGTTTGCATCAGAAATCTGGGCTTACTTTTTGGAGCCAGGGCCCATAATTACCTCCTCAGGGGTGCGAGGGTGCCTCAGCACGCCTCGCAGTGCCCGGAAAAATGGAAATTTCTTTTCCTCTGTGAAAGCGCAGTCACCATCATCATCACGCCTGCTGCTAAGTCAGACCCCAGGAGCTGCACATACTGAAACTAGCATGGTCAACCCTCTGAGGTTGAGGTTACTTCCTAACCTTGTTCCTTTCAATAAATGCATTATTCTGCTAGTGTCAACTGGTATTAAGTGTCTTTATCCAGTGATGACATAATCCTCAAGGCCAAACTGGCAAACCAAAGACTTCTGCCTCTCTGGCTCATCCTTAAGCATTTCTCTTGGAGTTTCTTCCATTTGTTTTAACATCAGTGGACACGAGCCAAACCAGTCTTGGTTTAAGGAGGCTGATGGATTCCTGTTCCAGTCCGCTACATATTACTGGGTTGTAAAAGGCCATTTGCTTTCAAAGGAAGACCTGGCATGTAGCATGGAACAGAAATCTCTTCAGTAATGGCAGTGAAAGAAGATGATAACTAGTGACTGGCAGCGATTAATTAAATGGGGTTTTTCCTGTGCCTACTCCATCATCAGTCTTTGGCTAAAAGCAGTCAACGGTGATTCATTTACTCCCAGCGGTGTGCTGCGGAGGGGTCGGACTGAGCAGCTACATGACACCACCACCGACAAACCTTGACAGTCAGGATCTGATTGCTGTGCAAAGCAGCCAGCGTAGGGAGACCAGGCAACCCCTAAAGGGACAAACAGCAGAACATGGCACAAACCACGCATGACATTCAAACACCAGGTGAACAAAAACAGGTAAAGGAAGAGAAAGATAAGCATCCTACAACACAGTGCTAGTTTGGCAAAAGATGTGGGTAGGTCTTAAAATAGTTTCCTAATTTTGTTTTCAAATTGTACAAAGCAACAACAAATTACAATTAACTTTCAAAATGAGACATTTGAAATATTCTGCCATGAAACTGTGTGTACAATGACAGTGGGACGTCCTGGGAAGAGGGTGGGCTGCAGTTTCCCAGCAAAGTAACCGTTTGTTTTATTCCACATATACAAATAGAACATTTACTGAGATTTTGAGTTCTAACATGCTGGTAAACTGAGGATCGGTTCTGAGGTCATAATGTTCACTGGAGGTTCGGTCAAATGGTTTCAGTTCCCTTGTCGACAAAGATGTGATCCACTCTTGGAAACTGAATAAAGGAAGAAAGCATCAGGCCTTTTACTTGTTAAGTGCAGGCAGTTTATTAAAGCTCAACAGTAATAGTGACACTAGTCCATGTACAGGCAACAGTACATGTGGATCTTCTACACGTGATATTCAGTTTTTACAGTGTAGAAGTGGTGTTTTTTCCAACCCTAAAGTAGCAGAAGTGAAAAAAGGATAAAACTCTTTGTCTGCACTAACTAACAACCTACACTTCTAAAATAATAAGGGAACACTTGATCACAGTACAACACTGAGTCAGTTAAACTTCAGTGATCTCAACCTGTCCATTTAGGAAGCTCAGGTGATTGTGAATCAGTTTCACCTGCTTTGGTGCAAATGAAAGTGCAATGGAGAGGCAAAAGCAAGACAACCCCCCCAGATAGGGAACGGTTTTGTCTGTGGTGACAAATGCTCTCTTTGTCCTTTCAGACTGATTCTTTTCAAGTTTTGTGCTTTGCTAGTGTCTTTGTCACTACTGGCAGCATGAAGCAGTACCTGCAAGCACAGGTAGTCCCACTTAGTCCAAGATGGCGCATCCACATGTGCAGTTGCAAGGTTTGCCGTCTCCCTCAGCACAGTCTCAAGAGCATGGAGGGGATACCAGGAGACAGGCTGTTACACCAGGAGAGCTGTACAGGGCCATAGAAGGGCAACAGCCCAGCAGCAGGACAGGTATCTGCTCCTTTGTGCAAGGAGGGACAGGAGGAGCACAGAGAGCCCCACAAAATGACCTCCAGCAGCTACTGGTGTGCACGTTTCTGACCAAACTGTCAGAAACAGACTCCATGAGGGTGGAATGAGGCCTTGATGGCCCAGCACGGTGCAGCACGATTGGCATTCACCAGAGAACACCAGAATTGGCAGGTCTGTCACTGGCGCCTTGTTCTCTTCACAGATGAGAACAGGTTCACATTGAACATGTGACCGGTGTTCAAGAGTCTGGAGACACCATGGTGAATGTTATGCTGCCTGGAATTTCAGAACATGACCAGTTTGGTGGTCTAGCGAGGCATATTAGTGGAGGACCGCACAGACCTCCATGTCACAGCCAACAATACCCTGACTGCTGTGAGGTACCGGGATGAGGTCCAGATGCTGCTGGGGGAGCATACGGGCACATGGGGGCCATACACACTGAGTCACATTATGAGTTGCTGTGATGAAATTCACACAACTTGAATGTGATTTCAATTTACCACTTAGATTTTCAGTGTGATTTTGAATCCAGCCCTCCATGGGTTGATTTTGGTTTCCATTGACTTATGTAATTTTCTTCTGAACAAATGATATAATGCACATGGCTAAAGGTTTTCAACCTTAATAATTCGTTCATCAAGGTGCATTGTGATTTAAGTGCTCCCATAGTTTTTTTTTTGTGTAGTTGACTACAGTAGTAACCGAGCTCCTTGAGGAACACATCGTTAACTAACTGCATTAACTTGTGGTGTCACACGTTGCATAAAAAAAAAAAGCTATGTTCACAACAGCGCGCACTGTGTAGTATTGCCTCATTGTGTGGAAGCCGGTACTGGATGCCATCACAGTTTAGTGGCTCTGTATTTGATTTAGAGTCGTTTACACTCCAGGAGCCACAGCCAACCCTTCATAAATACCATCGCTTGCCAGACACATTGGGTCGTCCTCATCCTAAAAGCTTTTGCTCTTGTAACAAAAAAATGGAAAACATACGGTTTGAAAATATGATCAAGTACCAAAGCTACAGTATCCAGCCAAACAGGGTTAGGTCAAAGCAAGATAACAGTTTGACTAGACAGTTTCTAGAATGCTTTGAAGAATGCACTCTAACCTGCAGTAAAAGAACATTTATTTTATGTATATCTTCTATATGAATCCCCAGCAGCCAGTGAGGTACCAGGGTTAGCCTGTATATCATGTGTGTAGCCACCTAGCAAAGAAAACCTCTTTCACAAGATCCGTGGTCTAAAATGAGCCCGTTTCAAACCATCTCATGGACGTTTGCTTAATTAGCTAGCTAGCAACCGCTCATAATATACATCAGTAGAAGTCATTTGTCTAGTCAAGGCTGTACAATTTCAAAAATTACCCAATTTCAGTAAATTAAATTTGAGGTGGTCCACATTTTCAGATGTGTGAAGATGAATGGCCTGGCATGTAGATCAACTAAGGGGGGCAGGATTTGTAAATAGTTTAATATTAAACCCATGTGTATAGTATAACAAGCAAATATTGTACCATATTGGTTGAATTCAGTGGTTCCCGGTTTTGGTGTTTATCTTTATGCTGCAGATTTTTCTCCACCATAAACCCAAATGAACCGATCAGCGTTGTCCTCAAAGCTCAGCCCACTGCATTAAATCGATCGTTCTCTATATTCAAGCTTAAGATAAAATCCTAAACATAAAACAGGGCTTTGGTGCCATCCCTCTGGTTTTCCAAACATAATTCAAAAAGCATGGGTCATTAAGAATATGGTTTTCAAAGCAGGCAATTTAACTCAACCCTGCAGCAGAACAGAGCAACAGATACTCTTACACTGCAGACAATAGACGTGCTGTGTAACAAGGAATGAAAAAAATATTTCAAGTCCTTTACAACCTCAAATATCTCGAGGACAGAGAAGGAAAACAAGTATGAGGTTACGGTCAGTGAGAATGGACAGGACCGCGAGTCCAGACATGAAGCTGTAGTGTGGTGCTTCTGCAGGCTGGCACACGATCAGTCTGATAAATACAGTGGCGTCAGAAAATCTACAGACCTCTTCACACGTTACCCACCATTCTATACTCTGTAACCCATAATGACAAAGTGAAAACATTAGAAAATAGAGCTAATTTATTAATAATAAAAAACTGTAGTCGCTCGCACTCAGACCGTTAAACTTACAGATGCCACTGTGGCAGCGGTTACTGCTTCCAGGCGTCTTGTGTGAAGTGTCTACCAGCTTTGAACACCTGGATTTGTGCAGTCCGTCCTTTTCTTCCTGGCAGATCCTTTAACATTCCTTCAGATTGGATTGGAACTGCCATCCTCACATCTCCACAGGTCTTCTCTGGTGTGTGTGTCTGGACTTGGCCCTTCAAGGACACTCAGACCTGAAGTTATGCCAGCGTCGTCTTGGCTGTAGGTTTCAGGTCAATGCTGTGAACCACCACCCCAGTCTCAGGCCATGTGGACTCTGGAGCAGGCTTTGTTCAAGGAACACCAAGTTTGGCTGCATTTGTCCTTCCCTCAGTTTTGATCCATGTCCCTACATTTCCAAACGTTTCCACTGTGCTTCTAAAAACACTCAAAGCTTTAGAAATGGTGTTATACCCATTTACTGTACTTCTACTATGACTCGCCAGACAGTTTTATTGAGGAAGACTACAGAGTTCCTTAAGCTTCCTGGTTTAGTTGTTTTTTTTTTTTTTGCCAGTCCTCACATGCACAGGTGTGTGCCTTTCTAGGTGGACACATCACGGATAATTAATGCAGACAATGCCCTTAATCCACAACTTGTCACAGCAAAGGGTCCAAGTAGTGTTCTGATTTTTTATAAAGTTACAAAAAAAGAAAGATCTAAAAACATCTTCATTTTGTCATTATGGGATATTGAACGTAGATTATGAGCAAAATGGCAGTTTTAATCGTTTAAAATTAAAGATACAACACACTGTGCAAAAAGTGAAGTTGTCCGAGTACTTGATGAAGTTATACTGAAGTTGACAGCATCTTGATAAACTTGCTGTTTGAGATGCGGGAAAAAAAATGATTATCTAACCAAAAGCCAGTCACTTGATCCCTCTCTGCAGGTGATGAGAACAGCTGCACTAGGACTGGGTTAGCACTCGGCCTGCACTGGTGTCCGTGTGTGAGAATAATGACGACAGTTGACAGAGAATCTTAAGCATTCACTGATCACTTGTTTGGGTTTTCTCCTCCAAAATGGACGTTAGTTATTTGGGGAGCGGCTCTTATGTATTCGCCTGCAGCAAACAAAAAGCCAGATATCAGGACGATCAGCAACAGCCACCATTGGACGCAGGGCAGAACCAGCATCTCTCAGACCACACCAAACACACAAGTCATTCTGAGCAGATATGAGCTGTGGCATCATCACAACACCCATCTGTGGAGTGCATTACCAATCCTGCACACAGATGGCTTTAATACATACAAGAGTGGAATAATACATACACTTGAAGCCTCAGATTTGGCATCAAACTGATGTAAATTCATGTCAAATTAAATTCCTTCTTCATTGCTTCTGATTTCATGTTCAAACAGTAGACTGTAAAACACCTTTCACACCCTCTTTATTTTGGAAGAACTTTGCAAAGTAGTCAAATCCAAAAATGTGAGAAGTAAAAAACTGGAGAAACAAAGGCAGGAATTATTTTTCTAAGTGTTATAGGAGTTCACAAACCTTTGCTTGACAGCTGTAGGTGGTGCCATTCCTTAAAAAGACCACACACCTTTCTTACACACAGCTAGTAACTCCTGTTAATTATATTCCACTAGTGGAGCTCAAAAGGTGGCCACACATTTGTTTGTCAAAACCAGCCAATTTATTATTTGTAGCTTGGCTAACCTTTGACATTTGGATGACCTTTGGCCTTCACGGTGAACAAATGGCCAACCCTGACATGTGGGGAAGGCAGCAAAAGTGGGTGGCTGTGAGGAAACCATGTGACGAATCTCCCACTCGAGCCACAGTGGTTGACAGGTTCTGACTTAACCCTACAGGCATGCACATGCAAACAAAAAGCCCTTTAAACGATTCTAAATTTAAACAAGTTTGAGGGAAATTAGAGAATAGTTGTTGGAAGAACGGTGTTCATCCCTCCTTCATCGACTTGGAGAATCAAGGTGAAGCTGTTCTGGTGGCACGTGGTGGTCCAGCACCTCACTGAGACTCGTGACTTGCCACTTGCCTATAGCTCCATATGGGTTTAACGGACTGCACACAGTCGGTACTGGGCATGAAATGAGCTTCATACTAATCTGATGTGTGGAGTCAATGCCCCATTCTGGGGAGGTGGTATGATTTGGTGGTGACCCGGACTGCTTTCATGCCTCTGCAGCCCCTTCATGTACGACTGTGAGCTAATTTGTACCTGCTAAGGGACAATTGTCTTGTAATTGGAAGTTAATGAAATGCTGTCTTGAGGTGGATAGTTTATTTACTCTGACAAATAGGACCTAGCTAGTCCCTGTTACAACTCAGTCAACTGCACTGCTATTTCCAAAGACTAAATCATTTAACTGATAGAGACAGATGACTCCATTTCCTGGGTTAAAAGGTACAAATTACGTGCAAAGCTCAAGAAACTATCCAAATGAGGATAGTTCACTCCAGTCGGTTTGACTAGAGACCACCAATATTTCCTTTGTCTGTTTGCAGCATTTCTGCTTTTGCAACTAGGATAATTATTAAACTTTTATTTAAAAATGAACATCAGAGTTGAAGAGCATGTGAATGAGCTTCTCTGTGAACTCGGTCATTTGAGGAGTGCCTGTGTGTAACACACTCACTCTGAGACCAGTAATCAGATTTCACAGGGAAGGTCATTTTCAACACAGTGCTTTGACTTGCAGAACTGGCCCAGAGGAGTGCTGACAAAGTCAATCAGCAAACTTCGTCTGGGCGGATGCCAGTGCTGAACTGGGATCCGACCCACTTGGGAATTGGCTGGTGACAAGACAAACCTCTGAACTGTTGTGTTCCCTTTTCCTTATGCTCTAAACTGTATTTGCTCTCTGCCCTTACAAAATCAATTAAAGGCACTCAAAGTGACTCCGACTCCATGTGATCTGCTCTTGCTACAGCTACAGAGGAAGAGTGTGTGTGTGTGTGTGTGTATGTGTGCACGCACACCGACCCAGTTAATGCAATCTAGTTTAAACAAACGTGTGCAGTCATAGTTGGGTTGTCAAAAAAGGTCATTTTTTAACCATTATGTGAGAAAAATTAGTGCTGTGCATTCATTCATCTAAAACTCACTTCAGAGTCTGTCAAGCAAGGAAAAGCACTCACATTATTATTATTTAAAAGCTGCACTTTTATAGAAATGCCAAACTACGGTGCTGGACATGATTAAAGCTCTAAATATGCCATGTCACGTCGGGCATTGAAGTAACAGAAGTAATTAGAGAGGCAGAACTAGCTGGCTTTTGATTATAGCTGAGACTGAGCAGATATGCTCTGGTGGTGTGCAAAAGCTTGTATTCATGTTCAGCTTGAAGACAAAGAAAAAAAATGATCTTTGCATCTTGAAAAATATACGACCCCATGGCTTCCCAAGGTATCTTGCACATTTGCCTGCCTAGAAATGAAAAGTGCTGAAATGTTTGTTGTGTTTGGCCAGATGGGAAGAACACTACACCAGGAATGTCATGCATCTCAAACCTTTTACCCACAATTCTACTGGGAGAGATACACTCAGTCGCATTCATCAGCTAATCGCAAGAAGTCGGAGTAAACCACATACCCGTGGTCCCTGGTCACCTTGATCCCCCTGCAGAAGGCAAGAAAAGAATGTCTTCAAATTCAAAGGCCGAAAACACACAAACACACACACCAGTACAAAGACTCACACCAGCATCACTGAGGCACGATTCAGAACACAGTGATAAAACAGGAGTCCTTGGTTATTCATTGTGGTTGAGAGAAAAATCACTTTTGATAACATGGACTGACATGAATTAGGTAGGAGAGAAAGAGAGCAGTGCTGTGAGGTTTGGTGGGTTGGAGGGGGGGGCACACTGCACCGCCAGGCCAGATTTTATGCCCTGCAGATCTTTGGGTTTTTGAATGGGGGTAGAGCTCTGTGTTCCTGACAGAGAAAACCGTGGGTTTCAACTCAACCTGCACGGTGAAGACTGTGGCTTTAGCACATTAGAGTGAAACCAAAGCAAGAGTGCACTTTTGTTTGAAATAACTGAAGGAAGACCAAATGTTGGAAACTGAATTACAACCTTAATCTGTCTCGAATCGGATAACTGAACATCCTGAAATCATCTGATGCAATGCACTCCGCTCTCCTGTTGGCAGGGTTACAGTTCAGCCACAGCAGTAAAACAAGCTGAACAACTTATCACACATGGACGGGAATTTGTTCACACAAATGTCAGTGTGATGCCTGAGCGATTTCAAATAAAACAACCATCTGAATTTTTAATTTTTCACTTGGTAGTCAGATTGAATAGGAAAATGGTTGTGAATGGACACAATGATACACACTTTATCTTGGGTGGGAGGAATGAGGATGGTTTTTCATTTCATTAAGCTGCAGACGAAGCGATTTACGTCAGGGGCACAAACACGCATCTAATCAATACGTTGCAGTTCTTCACAACTGCCATAACTAATGCTCAACAATCATCTTCATCTGGGTTTGTAAGTCGATGCTTATTGGTTCTATGTTTTGCTGTTAAGTGGCACCAAATAATAAGTGTAATTGTACTCACCTTTTCACCCTTCAAACCTGGAGGGCCCTGCAAAGAGAAGAGCAAAAAAATAAGTGTCAAACTGTGGTTCACGTGAGTTAACTAATCACTCTGGTGCACTGGTACAGTTTGGTCAGATACAAACCGACATGGACACCGCATCATGAGTGGATGTAGCTAAGTAAAAAGCAAGATGACCAGTCGTTTTAGTCAAGAAGCAAACAGAACATCAGGGGGAGACTGTGAAATCCAAATATTAAACAGTTTTAATGAAAATACCTGCAATTTAGACATCTCACCGTCAAAGACTGGGCACCAGTACCTTCTGCATTGTCAACAACATGGCTTTTAAATTACACTTAAAACCAAAGACAGGCCCAAATCAAGTCATATTTACTTAGAGGATCAAGTCCAGTCATATCCAACCATGTATTGGCAAGCTCAATGTAAAAGTGTGGCCTGTTTCTCTTCTAAACTACAGGTTTTGTGAGGTGACCGTCAATCAGCAGCCAGGGGCTCCTGGCTGGGCTCATGGGTGAAGTAAGGGGTTTGACAGTGACGTGTGTCTTTATAAGCCTGATGCGTAATAAGCACATGTTCAAAAACAGTATTCTAACATTCCCGTTGAAAGATGAAGTCCAGTATGTTGAGCTCTCCTTCAACCACTGAGGTTTGACTTTAAGAAAAACCGGCTTTTGAAAAATCGCTATTAGATCAGACACTTGGCAACACTGTTCCTGAGCTCTTGATAAAAAGGGACAAAAGAGCTGTGCCAGATAAGTCACTTCAAGTGTTCATCGCTTCCTGTAACTGTTGCCAATTTTGAAAGTGCCAGAAAAAAACCCCACATACGTGTCAAACTGTTTGTCTCCAAAGAAGTCATGCACACACACAGTGTAACGCTGACACTAATTTATATTGTAGACTGATGACCGTGTTTGGATGCTGATTCTGGGAGCCTATGGACAAGAAGATGGGCTTCCACTGCACTAGCACAGTCACTGAAAAGCTCCAGAATAAGTCCGGCAGTTCTGCTCAGCCAGTTTCTGCCACACTGCTGTGGGGGAGGTGGGTCGTAGCCAGGTTTCCGCCTGCTCAGTGCCTTTGGATATTACTTTTTATAGTGCATGTGTTCCTAAGGGGGTTTGCATGTTGTCCAACTCACCTTGGGCACGAGGTCATGAACCTGTACAGAGAGCCTGCGCAGTGCACTATTCCAGTTCTTCAAAAGAGAAGCAACAAACTCAGAAGCTGATGGAAAACGTAGCTTTCACATACACATTGTGGGAGCTGGTCCTGCTGCTTATTTGACTGGCCACACAAAGAGCAACAACACACTTGTCAATACAAAATGGGCCATTATTAAAAGTGCATTTCTGATCGTGGCCCCCTGGGGAGGAATAACAGAAGCAACATATTGGAATCAAAATGTTACTTTTACTTTTGTACTAATGTAGAGGCTTTTCAATAGGGGTTTCCAGTGTGTTCTTGAAAATGGAAGGCAGCTAAAGGCCTTTTGTTTGGAAGGAAAATTGCCTTTGGACAATAGGAGGCTACTGACAAGCTGTTACTACAAACATTCGAATGGCCCTCTGCAGCTTTTTGCACAAGCCTGTGTAATGTATAATGTCTGGCACAGTAAAATCCAGATAGTTGGCACACTATAGCATCAGTGTAATGAATGGGCATCATAAGCTTGTGGAAAGAAATGAAAACTCTGCTTTATATGATTTAGCTTTTCAATAAATCCAGATTGTTTCAAGATAAGTGCAGTAATACAGGAACACTTGATCAAATCCATGTTGAACTTCCATAATAAGGCAGCTAAGCATGTCTCCATTTTGTTTGTGAGGGAGTAAATAAGGAAAATTGGGTCACAGGCATTAAGACATTTCTACAATAAAGAGGTCTGATGAACTAGATCAGTGGTTTCCAGTCTGTAGTCAGATGTTCCCCTTCCTCTACAACCATTTCATCCATTACCGTTGGTTGTTTAATCCTCTTGGCATGCCTGATAACTGGTTTCAAGTGTTCCAGTCAATATGTAGATTTTTTCTTTTCATTCAGATTGCCTTTTTGTTTTTCAATTTATTTGAGCTTCTCTGCAATCAAAGCGACTGCACCTTGGAGTACAAGTTAAATAAGTAAAGCTATCAGGGATCTAAGCTTGGTACCACCACTGATATACAGTATGTTAAACTGTGTCAATCAAGAGAAAGCTTGGTAACTACACATCATTCAGCACCATTTACTGGTAGATTTATATTTTTCTGAGTGGAATGCTGCTTTCGACACACCAAACCGCATCTCCCCCCAAAATCTTGTTCATTTTACTCCACCATCTGGTTGTAAAGCATGTGGAAGTGATTGCCCTACAAAGTCTGCACGTGCTCATTATACGGCCCATCATTTGCACATCACTTACACAGACAGCATCCACTGGAGCTTTACCAAAAGGTTTATGTGAATACAGTAAGGGCCTTTTATGGAGGCCACTCTCCTGCAAAGAGAGAGCTGCACTACATTAGTACTGCAGTGGGTGTCTGTGTCGAGCCTTGTGTGCAGCTTTGTGGCTTTGGTTGGCCCCATGGATGGTTCCTAATTAGCACTTGTGTATGCTTTTCACATCCTTTCACTGCTTCTGCTCTGGCTCTTTCCAAACCAGCCCCTGAGCAGGTGCTCCACAGCTAATCAAGCTGCTTCTGTTTGATCAATCCTGTTCACGGTGCACTAGCAGGCTCCGTTTATGAACTTCACTAACCCTCTGCAGAAGAATGTTGCTCCCAACACAATTTCCAGTTGTATTTGGTGAACTAGTGTACAGAAAGACAGTGTTCAGTGGTACTGGGAGGAGGAACAATTAGCTCCCAGAAAGCCTCTAAAGATTAGCCCTAGTATAACTGATTTCAAACAACACCAAATACATAAAGCAGTTGCCCCTACTGCAAAAGCCATTTATTGAAAATGACAGGTATCATGTGATGGTAAGCTTCACTCCTAGTGCTGCCTAATCCCGGGAAAACTCGTGTCAAACTTCCATCACGAGATTTGTTACAGAACATCCTGTGTGCACGATATCGTTGACTTTATGGTGGACCACTGGATCAGGATAGAGTTTTTTTTCTGTTCAGATACATGTTTGGCTTCTCATTCAAAGCCAAAACCATGACCACCGTCTCCTGTAATGGCCTAAATGAGCTGTTGGTATGCAAAAAGAGGAAACCCCTGCCACCTTTAAGAGGGGGGGGGGTGAAAGTCCAAACCCACAAAAAACATGGAAAACACCGCCATTCAGATCAGACTTTACTTCATATTACAAGACAAGAGTAACTGTTCAATAAAATGACTCTGGCATTGAGGTAGATTTTTTTATGTGGATCGTTCCCTGTCAGTTAACTTAAAAATTAGGCTACTAAAAAGCCCAAATAGTTGCTATGAGGTTGATAAAGGAGGCAAAAAAGAGGAACTGATGAGGTGGATGGAGGATGACAGAGACCTATTCAACACATCTCGCTATCTGGGAGCTGACAGCGTGCTGAAGAGCCACAGAGCACGTCTGTGACCACTACGGGTCACGGACGGGTGCAGCAGATTCCACTTGGGGAAGTGAGCGCTCAGGAAATCACACGTTCAGAGCAACTTCTAATCACTTCCTGAGAGAAGCGTTCCCAGAGCTGTCCGGTCTCCAGTGTGGCAGGAGAGTGCAGAGCTGTCAGGTCAAAAATGATACCGGCCATGAGAAGTTAGTCTGTGCGAAGATGCAAAACCTGGCGACAATCACCTCTGCAGGAGGCTGGGCTACAGCAGGTCAGCTCGGTTCAACTGAATAAGCCTAACCTCTTGTAAATGGGTTTTTCATATTTTAAATGGTAACCATCTAATTTTGTCAACATGCATTGGCTGCATTTTTGTGGCCTTTTGTTGCTTTAACTGTAGTGAGTCATGTTTCATGTGGTGTTGACATGAAAATAGCTGCACATAAGCTTGTTACATATATTCATCATTAAAAAAAATGAATGAAACTTGTCATCTTAAAAAAAAAAAAAATGAAACTACCAGTATTAAATTATGACAGTGACAAAGTCTAGCGTGACATCTGCTTCCTATATATTTAACTTTGCATCCAATTGAAGCAGATCTAAGTTTCCCCACTGGGCCACTTGGTTTCTCCAGTTCAACCCCTTTCTGTCAGATAACTTGATCATACATTTCCAATGTGATCGAAGTAGGAAATAAAGAAATGAACATTTCCTGAATTCAACTTAGGATGTTATTCATCTAAGACCAAGCCCTATGAGTTCCACTGTGTTTATCTACTCGTCTCATATGAAGCTTAGGTGTTGGGGTTAGGAGCTATATTGGATTTCTATTATTTGCAGGATCATGTCTTTCTTTGAAGTCCTGTAGGTTTGTACTGAAATTACACCAACTCACAAGCTCCTGCCTCATTTCCAGCCATCTCACATACAAGTCACGAATATCCAATTCTTCACTTTCTTCTATAATTTTCTAGAAACATGATGGATGAAAGCTCGTCGGTGAAAGGCGAAGCAACGAGATGGCCCACGTCCACAGCTTTAAGCTGTTGACATGAGCGGGCTGGCTGCGAGCTGCTGGTACAAGCTTGTGAAGCATCCACCAAATATAACAACATGCAAACAGTTAGGAGCGGGGGATGTGCATGTAACCTCTGTCTGGACTCGGCTCTATTAGCTTTCATCGCAGTGACCTGTTAACTTACCGAGGTCCAGAAACTCACTCCAACAGACGGAGCCCATACTGGGCCAACTGGGCCGGCAGTGGTTGCTGTAGCCCAAGACGCTGGCCAAATGGATCCAATCATCTCACCCTGGAGCACTGGCATCTCAAAGCACAGGCCAACAACCACCACTTTTACAACCTCTTCTTTATGGGCATATGGTTTTCTCACACAGCTACACAATCTAAATAAACATGTGTACACAGGAAGCCGAGCAAAGCAAAGCTCCAGGCACCGAGCGTCGACAGGGAATGAGTAAGTGATGAGGGGGTAGGTGAGGAGTGTTGCT